TACGCACATCGAAGCTTCAGTGTCATACGTAACATCTCTAGTGTGTGTGTGTTATCCTGCCTGCCTGTATGTACCTGTGAGTAAAATTAAGTAAATCGTTTGTATTGGAGCCTTTGGACTTTGAGTCTTCAACCCACACCACACCGTGACACAGTGAGTGATTTTCTCTTTGTCTTTTGTAGTTTGATTGTCATTAATGAAACATACAGCAGCAGGTTTATTAGACTGCTGTTACTTTAAGACTGAATGCACGGATCCAATATACTGTTACACATGCCACACACATTTCCCAACTGTTAATGTTCACTTAAGACATAAGTGACGGTGATTAAGCGAATACTCACCAAGCTGGGCATTTAGAAATATTTTATTATTATTAACTCTTTTCTTATTATTATTATTTTCTTCTTATTAATTATTAACTCTTAATATTATTAAACACATCCTGCAGTTTAAAACCAGTAGACTGTATTTTATGACAATCACTGATCTAGCTGATTTGGACGTTAAAGGGGCCATGAACTGAGAATTTAACAGTTTTCTTGATCATTTGACAGTTAAGAGGTCGTTAAAATATAAAAATATCCTGTAAGTTTCAAAAATGAAAACTTCCTTGTTATTCCAAAAACAGCTTTTATTGAAACCAAGGCCAGAAAATGACAGGATCTGAAAAGTGTGAAATTATGACGTAATAGTGCAGCGAAAGACCAACTTTGCAGAAAAAGATCAACGCCTACGTCTACATCCCCGCGTCTTTGGTGCCGCCCAAGTGAACAGTTTCATGAGAAAAGATCAACACAGGATCAGTGACAGTACCTTCCAAAGGATCCTAATGCTAAGAAATTGTTGTTGTTTTTTCCCCCAACTATGTAAAAGTCTCAGCAGTGCATTATTTGTTTTTTATTCTATACATTACACAGTGGATTCTTTGGTAATTCAGTCGCAATTTCGCCCAAGATTTGCAAACAGACTTTTACGATATGGATCCGTCAGCAACGCCAAAAACATGTAAGAAACCGTGTTTATACTAATGCCGGAACTGTGATCATTGATTTCTGATGTGTAATTATTCAAGTTCAGACAGATTTTCTTTGTCTCAAAATCATTCAATACTGTTTATGCATCAGTAAATCAAGCCAGTGACTAAACGATCAACTTCATATTGTTTCTCTTAGTAGCATGAAAACAATCTGTTATTTAAAGTGTGATTGAATTATATAGAAAGCGGTCAAAGTACGCCCCCCTTACAATCGCTGGAGCTGTCAATCACACAGTGCGAGTTTATCTGGATACTTGCCATAACTTCGGGTTATGTAATAAATTATGTTGTTACAATGCACAACAAAGCGCTTACTGTATTTACAGTGTTTGCTTTGTTATTTATGGTGACAGCATTCGTGAGACTGCAGAAATAGAGTTGCAATGATGAGATCACTGCATTCACGTGATCAACAGACTGTCTGTCATCTGCTCAATGCTCATCACTGCAACCTCTCATGTGATGGGAAAAGATACTTTCCACGATTTGTTTATCTCGACAGCTGTAATAGTAAAAAAGGCGTAAAAGTATTCGAGAGGGTTCCACATGTACTACTTATTTCATATGCAAAGATGTCAGCCAATCACAGCAGTGGGCGTTTACACTGAAGTCTCACAGACACGCCCCTTCAAACATAGCGTTCAAATCATAGGATAAAATCAGGCTAAAAAACAGCCATTTATTTGTAAATTGTGAAAATTTTTGATGTAAAAATCATTAACATTATAGTCCTTCTCAAAAAATTAGCATATTGTGATAAAGTTCATTATTTTCCATAATGTAATGATAAAAATTAAACTTTCATATATTTTAGATTCATTGCACACCAACTGAAATATTTCAGGTCTTTTATTGTTTTAATACTGATGATTTTGGCATACAGCTCATGAAAACCCAAAATTGCTATCTAAAAAAATTAGCATATTTCATCCGACCAATAAAAGAAGTGTTTTTAATACAAAAAAAAGTCAACCTTCAAATAATTATGTTCAGTTATGCACTCAATACTTGGTCGGGAATCCTTTTGCAGAAATGACTCCTTTAATGCAGCGTGGCATGGAGGCAATCAGCCTGTGGCACTGCTGAGGTGTTATGGAGGCCCAGGATGCTTCGATAGCGGCCTTAAGCTCATCCAGAGTGTTGGGTCTTGCGTCTCTCAACTTTCTCTTCACAATATCCCACAGATTCTCTATGGGGTTCAGGTCAGGAGAGCTGGCAGGCCAAATGAGCACAGTAATACCATGGTCAGTAAACCATTTACCAGTGGTTTTGGCACTGTGAGCAGGTGCCAGGTCGTGCTGAAAAATGAAATCTTCATCTCCATAAAGCTTTTCAGCAGATGGAAGCATGAAGTGCTCCAAAATCTCCAGATAGCTAGCTGCATTGACCCTGCCCTTGATAAAACACCAACACCAGCAGCTGACATGGCACCCCAGACCATCACTGACTGTGGATCTGTTTCTGGTTCAAAAGTGGCTTGACCTGGGGAATGCGGCACCTGTAGCCCATGTCCTGCACATGCCTGTGCACGGTGGCTCTGGATGTTTCTACTCCAGACTCAGTCCACTGCTTCCGTAGGTCCCCCAAGGTCTGGAATCGGTCCTTCTCCACAATCTTCCTCAGGGTCCGGTCACCTCTTCTCGTTGTGCAGCGTTTTTTGCCACACTTTTTCCTTCCCACAGACTTCCCACTGAGGTGCCTTGATACAGCACTCTGGGAACAGCCTATTTGTTCAGAAATTTCTTTCTGTGTCTTACCCTCTTGCTTGAGGGTGTCAATGATGGCCTTCTGGACAGCAGTCAGGTCGGCAGTCTTACCCATGATTGCGGTTTTGAGTAATGAAACAGGCTGGGAGTTTTTAAAAGCCTCAGGAATCTTTTGCAGGTGTTTAGAGTTAATAAGTTGATTCAGATGATTAGGTTAATAGCTCGTTTAGAGACCCTTTTCATGATATGCTAATTATTTGAGATAGGAATTTTGGGTTTTCATGAGCTGTATGGCAAAATCATCAGTATTAAAACAATAAAAGACCTGAAATATTTCAGTTGGTGTGCAATGAATCTAAAATATATGAAAGTTTAATTTTTATCATTACATTATGGAAAATAATGAACTTTATCACAATATCCTAATTTTTTTAGAAGGACCTGTAAGTGCACCTCAGGAAACATTATAAAATAATTTAAAAAAATCCAGTTCATGACCCCTTTAAGGTTGAGCTTTTAGGGAGGAAAGAAAGCACACCGCTGTGAAAGAAAGAAATTTACTAAAATCGCACAGCTCTAGTTCCCTTTCGAAGGGAACTCAACAATACATCATCGACGTTATGGGGAACGCCTCAGGCGTGACAGGCGTCTGAAATCAAGTATCAACTCAAGTATCGGCCTTCCTGAGTATGAGCTTCCACATGCTGTGGTTGTCAGGTTTCAGGCCTCACCGGCCTTCCTGATATGAGCTCCCAGCTACTGTGCTGGCCAGGTTACAGGCCTCACCGGCCTTCCTGATATGAGCTCCCACATACTGTGGTCGCCAGGTTACAGGCCTCAACCGGCCTTCCTGATATGAGCTCCCACATACTGTGGTCGCCAGGTTACAGGCCTCACCCGGCCTTCCTGATATGAGCTCCCACATACTGTGGTCGCCAAGTTACAGGCCTCACCGGCCTTCCTGGTTATGAGCTCCCAAATACTGGGTATCAGGTTATAGGCTTTACTAGGCCTTCCTGAATATGAGCTCCCACACACGGTGGCCGCCAAGTTACAGGCCTTGGCAGGCCTTCTTGGTTATGAGCTCCCACATGCTGTGGTCGCCAGGTTACAGGCCTCACCGGCATTCCTGATATGAGCTCCCATATACTGGGTATCAGGTTACAGGCCTTACCAGCCTTCCTGATATGAGCTCACACCTACTGTGGACGTCAGGTTACAGGCCTCACCGGCCTTCCTGGTTATGAGCTCCCACATTCATTGGTCACCAGGCTTCAGGTGGTCCCGTCTCTGTGATCCGGAACTGAATGGTTTCTGCCAGCTTTGCAGGCCTTCAGTTTTGCATGCCTTTTCCAAGGCAGTTTCCAGAGGCTCTGTCTCTGACAGACAGGCAATGGCCAGACTGTGCGTCTTAGTATAGATCACCAGGCCAGCCTGGTGGCATGTCAGGAGGCATGCTCTCCTGAATAGTGACTGGCTGGGAGTCCCTTGAGTCCCCTAGCCACGCTCCCTAGAAGGGACCCCTTCTATTAGGAAGTTGTGGTCCTAAGCCTTTGAGCTGGCCCAGACATACCTCCCATGAACTATGTTCTGACAGTTTTCTCGGTTCATTAGCTTGGGCTATGACCGGTAGGGAGTGCTGTCACTGACAGCCCAATGTGACCTAGGGTGAGTGGTTTTAGTGTCCTTTGTATTACTGGTTCTGACAGTTGTCACTGCCATTGGGCATGTACTCCCCTCAGTATGGCAGCGTAGGTATTTCGTTCCCCATAGCGTCGATGACGTATTGTTGAGTTCCCTTCGAAAGGGAACGTCTCAGGCTACGACTGTAACCTTTGTTCCCTGAGAACAGGAAACGAGACGATACGTCTCCCTGCCATACCTCGGGCCTGCCTTCAACAGTCCCTTCAGACGATAGGATGTTGTCATGGTTTCAAGGCACCCTTTTTATACATCCAGGTTGCGCACTCATCATCCGAGCTGATGATGCACGGGCTGTCGCCGGTCAACATGATTGCTGTGAGTTGATACTTGATGTCAGACACCTGTCACGCCTGAGGCGTTCCCCATAGCGTTGATGACGTATTGTCTCGTTCCCTGTTCTCAGGGAACAAAGGTTACAGTCGTAACCTGAGACGTTTCTTGCTGTCAGAGAGACCCTTCTATTTGTGTTATAATTTTTTTCTTTTTTCTTTAATTCTACTATTATTCTACAACATGAAAATAGTAATAATACAGCATGATTAGGGACTCACTTGCTGCAGTTGATGATGATGTCCTCGGGTCGGATGCGGCGTTTCAGTTTGCCCATCTTAGGATGGTCCCCGCGTCCTCTGAACAGACCTGGAGGCTCGATCCGGAAGTTGCCGATCCGCTCCCTGTGGTTGTCCATAACACAGAATCCATACTCCTGCAGAATCCGTTCGTTCTCCTCTTTGGTTTTCTTTGAAAATAAGATGAATTTTTCAGTTAAAGTTTGTATTTCAGCAGTATGTGTGTGTTGGTGGCATTCTAACCTGTTTCTCCTCTTTTGACATCTGTTTTCTGGCCTCAGATTGTGCTTTAAAGTATTCGTGCATCTCAGTGAAGTCACATTTCTTCAGCTCAGTGATCTTTGACTTCTCCTCTGATGTCATTTCCTTACAAGAAACATTTGTGGGACAATGTTTCTATAAGACACTGTGACACTGTGGCAGAATAATGCCATCAAACTTTCTCAGTGAAGTCACATTTCTTCAGCTCAGTGATCTTTGACTTCTCCTCTGATGTCATTTCCTTACAAGAAACATTTGTGGGACAATGTTTCTATAAGACACTGTGACACTGTGGCAGAATAATGCCATCAAACTTTTGCACATTTCCAGCGGTTAAAGGGATACTCCACCGTTTTTTCATATTAAACTATGTTATTCTCTTATCTAAGACGAGTTGATACATACCTCTCTCGTCTCAGTGCGTGCACTGAATCGCTCTGTCGGGCGGAGAACTTTGAGAGCAGTTAGCTTAGCCCCATTCATTGTATATGGGCCAAACAGAGATGAAGTTAGAAGCGACCAAACACATCCAAGTTTTCTCTATTTAAATATAGTTACACAAGTAGTTACAAGTAGTTTTTTGTGCAGAGTTGATGAAGTATCAGGGAGAGGGAAAGGGAGAGGGAGAGGGAGAGGGAGAGGGAGAGGGGGAGAGGACTTTTCACGAGTGAAGATATTACAGCGCCGAGTCGAAGTGCTCCCAATAAGTGCTATTCCGCCATACATTATTGTTATCCATTTTACCCGCTTATAAAAAGCGCCACATTTTATTTAGTGTCACCATACTTGGTCGTGTAACTACTCGTGTAACTATATTTAAATAGAGAAAACGTGGATGTGTTTGGTCGCTTCTAACTTCATCTCTGTTTGGCCCATATTCAGTGAATGGGGCTAAGCTACTGCTCTCAAAGTTCTCCACCCGACAGAGCGATTCAGTGCACGCACTGAGACGAGAGAGGTATGTATCAACTCGTCTTAGATAAGAGAATAACATAGTTTAATATGAGAAAACGGTGGAGTATCCCTTTAATAAAACAATTCCCTTAAAACTGGCAATTGTGAATAATATGAGAGCAATAATATTAGATAAGTAATGTTTTGAAAAGTGTGTTACCTTCCTCCAATCTTTGAAGAAGTTCTTTCTAAATATGTCTTTAGTTGTGTACTCATGGTCAATCATTTTTGCATAAAACGTGGCCACTTCCTCTGCACCTGGGCTCAATTTCATGGCCTTTTCTGTGAAACACAAGATAATTATCTCAACATTTAAAGACATCCTCATTACACACCACACTATACATGTGTCACAATCATGTCCTGTATAGTTTCATTTTCTTTGTCACTATAGTTTCTAATTAGTTTTCACACTTGTTCCTTGTTCTGTTGATTGATTTTCAGAGCCTGAGTTTGCCATGAAGCGAGAGTCTGAGCAAATGCCAAAGGCCAATTTCGTCCCCGAGCCTGATGTACAAACGTTGCATATGCACTAAATGTAGTTATATTGTATATATACTCAGCTTGCGGGAAGGCAGACGGAGACGGATGTCCCTGGTAGAGAGCCAGGCCTTCTGCCCTGGATGGTAAATGGATGTCGTCGCTCTTCTTGCGTCGGCCTGGATCTTGTGTCTCCGTACTGCCCTCTGAAGGTGGATATGAGCTGAGTACCACACCCTTTTGCTCTCCTGGAACCAGTAGTTCACAACTGGAACGTCTGACGGCTCACCTGACCAGGGAAACATGGGTGGTTGGTAGCCGAGTATGCACTGGAAGGGTGTAATCCTGGTGGTGGTCTGACGAAGGGAGTTCTGCGCATACTTGGCCCATGGTAGGAAACGGTTCCAGCTGTGTTGGTGGTTGTGGCAGTATGACCACAGGTAATGTCCGATTTCCTGGATCTTGCGTTCTGTTTGGCTGTTTATCTGAGAGTGGTATCCTGAAGACAAGCTTACCGACACCCGAGCAGATGTAAGAAGGCTTTCCACACACATGAAGTAAACTGTGACCCTCTATCGGACACAATGTCTTCTGGCAGTCCATAGTTACAAAATACATGGTGGAATAATGCCTCAGCAGTCTCCAGAGTGGAAGGTAGACCTTTAAATGGGAGCTTACAGGCCTTAAAGAAACAGTCAACTGCAACCAGGATGCAAGTTTGTGTCAGAGGGAGGTAAGTCTGTGACGAAGTCGATGCCAAGGTGATACCAGGGTCTATTGGGAATGGGTAATGATAGTAGTTTGCCTTCTGGAAGATGTCTTGAAATAGCGCATGTGGAACAGCCTCAGACCAAACATTGTATGTCCTGGGTCATACTGGGCCACCAATAGCGTTCACGGAGGAGCGAGAGGGTTTGCTGGTAACCTGGACGCCCTGATCCTGGAAACGAGGGCACTGAGTTCATGAGGGTTACGCGTAGAGTTGATGTTACATACGTGCCCCCGTCAGGACCTCTCGGCGGAGTTGGCTCCTCTCTGGTGGCTATAGCAATCTGTTCGTCCATCGCCGACTGAATAGGACAAGTGAAGAGGGCTGGAGGGAGAATAGGATCAGGTGATGGTGTAGGTTGATCTGGAGTATGAAGATGGGAGAGAGCGTCAGCTTTGGTGTTCTTGTGTCCAGGACGATAAGTGACTTTGAAATTGAATTGGGTGAGAAATAAGGCCTGACTTGAGGTGGGTTCAAATGGCGAGCATTCTTGAGATATTCTAAATTACAGTGGTCTGTAATCACCTGAAACGAGTGGTTTGCTCCCTCCAGCCAATGTCTCCATTCTTCAAATGCAAATTTGATGGCGGGGAGCTCATGGTTCCCAATGTCGTAATTTTGCTCAGCCCGGTACAGTTTCTTTGAAAAGAAGGCACATGGATAAAGAGCTGCTGACTCACCCTGCCGCTGAGAGAGTACTGCTTTCACTCTGCTGGGGGATGCGTCCACTTCTATGACAAAGGGGAAGTCAGGATCGGGACAAAAGGCATTCTTCAGATGTTGGAAAGCACCGGTGGTGTCATGATACCACACACAGGAAACAGGGGTAGATCAAATAGCAGTTTAATGGGTATCCGTACATCATAAAACCAGTCCAGGCAGGGGTCAAAATCCATACAAGCAATCGATAAACGAGAAACAAAACAAGAACAGACAAGAACACAGACCTCCAAAGTGGTGTGATAAATAACAAGGACTCCGTAACAAACACTAAACAGGCAGGGTATTTATACACACAGAAACTAACAATCATTATGGGGAACAGCTGAGTGCAATGAACAGTGATGAGTGCAGACAAGGATTGTGTTCTAATGTGAATGATACCGTGGGGGAAGAGGACCTCTAGTGGACATCAGGGAACATAAACCAACACTGTGACATAACCTCCCCTCTACGGAGCGGCTACCAGACGCTCCAAGACGTAGAAACAAACAAAACAAGAGTCCAGGCGGGAGGTGGAATGGTGGAGGATCAGGGGGCGGGATGGGGGGGCCAGGTCCATGAAGGGGAACAGGAACATGGGGTGGGGGTGAGACCTTCCCTCAGGCGGCCAAGGCGGAGACCTCCCCTCGGGCGGCCAGGGGGGAAGCAGGTCGTGCAGGCGGCCAGGGCGGAGACCTCACCTCGGGCGGCCATGCCGGAGGCCCAGGAACAGACACCGGCTCAGGAACAGACACCGGCTCAGGAACAGACACCGGCTCAGGAACAGACACCGGCTCAGGAACAGCAACAGACGCCAGCTCAGGAACAGCAACAGACGCCGGCTCAGGAACGGCAACAGACACCGGCTCAGGAACAGACACCGGCTCAGGAACAGCAACAGACGCCAGCTCAGGAACAGCAACAGACGCCGGCTCAGGAACGGCAACAGATGCCGGCTCAGGAACGGCAACAGACGCCGGCTCAGGAACAGCAACAGACGCCAGCTCAGGAACAGCAACAGACGCCGGCTCAGGAACGGCAACAGACGCCGGCTCAGGAACGGCAACAGACACCGGCTCAGGAACAGACACCGGCTCAGGAACAGGAACAGACACCGGCTCAGGAACAGCAACAGACGCCGGCTCAGGAAGAGCAACAGACACCGGCTCAGGAACAGCAACAGACGCCAGCTCAGGAACAGCAACAGACGCCAGCTCAGGAACAGCAACAGACGCCGGCTCAGGAACAGCAACAGACGCCAGCTCAGGAACAGCAACAGACGCTGGCTCAGGAACGGCAACAGACACCGGCTCAGGAACGGCAACAGACACCGGCTCAGGAACAGACACCGGCTCAGGAACAGACACCGGCTCAGGAACAGCAACAGACGCCAGCCCAGGAACAGCAACAGACGCCGGTTTAGGAACAGCAACAGACGCCGGCTCAGGAACAGCAACAGACGCCGGCTCAGGAACGGCAACAGACGCCAGCTCAGGAACAGCAACAGACGCCAGCTCAGGAACAGCAACAGACGCCGGCTCAGGAACAGCAACAGACGCCGGCTCAGGAACAGCAACAGACACCGGCTCAGGAACGGCAACAGACACCGGCTCAGGAACAGACACCGGCTCAGGAACAGCAACAGACGCCAGCTCAGGAACAGCAACAGACGCCGGCTCAGGAACAGCAACAGACGCCGGCTCAGGAACAGCAACAGACACCGGCAGATGCGACACGAACAGTCTCTGGATCGGCAGACGTGACGCGAACAGCCTCTGGATCGGCAGACGTGACGCGAACAGTCTCTGGATCGGCAGACGTGACGCGAACAGTCTCTGGATCGGCAGACGTGACGCGAACAGCCTCTGGATCGGCAGACGTGACGCGAACAGTCTCTGGATCGGCAGACGTGACGCGAACAGTCTCTGGATCGGCAGACGTGACGCGAACAGCCTCTAGATCGGCAGACGTGACGCGAACAGTCTCTGGATCGGCAGACGTGACGCGAACAGCCTCTGGATCGGCAGACGTGTGCTTCCTCCGTGCATGCAGAACCGCCAATACATAAAAAAGGAAGACCGCTCTCTTGGCCGTGGCAGGACTGATGATGGGCTGCTCAGGCACGGCCTCCGGGAAGACAGCGGGCTGCTCGGGCACAGAAGCAGTTTTTGTAAAAATAGGCTAACGATTGCGTCATAACTCGCGACTCTCTGTCGCAAGGTGGAGAAATTATCGTATAGACAGAAGTAGAAGCTCGCGCGCAATCGGGGGGACGTGGAGGCATAAAGTCAAGGGAGAAGCCCATAGAGAGTTGTAAAGTTGCTCCTGCTGAGAGCTCATGGACAGCTCATACACACGATCTCCGGCTCGGAAGGGAATGATTCAGATTCCTCTTGGCACAGCTACTAGAAGACGTACAACTGTGAGACAGGTTGCTCACGTCACATCTACGTCATCAAGCTGAGTGTGAGCCTGCGCAGTGCGCTTGGCAATCAGGAAGTGAGTGCTTCTAATTGACTTTTGAAGTCTATGGAGTCTTCCGTTGAAGTCTATGGGGTCGCTGTGTCCATTTCTTTTACTGTCTATGGTCAAATCTCTCCAGAACCACTAAAGACAATCACTTCAACAGCAACTCAGTGTTTTCACTCACCAACAGGTGACAACAAAGGCTAATTGTATGAAAATAAAAGCAAGTATCAACAGTCAGACAGTTTCAGAATACAATAGCAACACACATGTGATTTCAGCCAATCATTTCTAAAAGTATAAAATTAGAGATCAAGCTTTAAACTTTAACAAAAAATACCAGACCAGACCAACGAGAAAAAAACTATTTTAATGTGAGCATGAACTGCTTACTGATATAACTGTATTTTTAGCTGAGCACAAGACAAGCTGTTCTTCCAGGGCATCCATTCAAACACATATATGCATCCAAAACAATGCACACAAATTCCAGGATATGATACATTTTTTTTAAAAAGGACTGTTTTTACTACTTCATTGCAGAGTATTTCACTACAAACAACACACAATGGATTTGGCGCCACGGAATCGCCTGTTGCCGTAAATCCATACTGAGGCATCGTATATAAGATTGAAGCTTGACTTTTTTTTGTTTTTTTGAGTTGGTCATCACCCTTTCTTTTACGGAAACAGTCCGCAATGCAATGGGCCATGGAAGTTTGCTGGGGCCCGATCATCTCTCTACATACTGCCACTTCATGTGCACTGAAGTGCACTTCTGCAGTCCAGTCAGATACCATACGTCCAGAACCAATGAGACGCTAAGCAAACGCAAGGCGCTCAAAGAAACACATTTTGATCTATTTATTGTTTGTGTTTTGGATTAAATAACATGTCATAGCACTTAAAAAAAAACATTTAAAAAAGACAATTATTATAGAAAAAAAGACCATTATTTCAAGGCCCGGGTCCCGGGGGTTGGGAATCGCTGCTTTATCAAACCGCTTAGACACAGTAAGAAAAGAGGCTCATCTACTTGGTATATTCTGAAAAATGGTAAGTGTTTATTTTTTTACCTTAGATGTATGTAAACTTACTGTAGGAGACCTAAAAAAAACGAGGAACCTTTAAAATAGTATAATTGGGGCACTTAAAAAAAAATGTTATCAAATGTAATTTAATGGCGCAGTGTGTGATTATTAGCGGCATCTAGCGGTTCGGTTGCGAGTTGCACTAAGGGCTCATCCCACTGCTCACCCCTCCCTTTCGAAGAAGCTACGGTGGCTAAAACGGGACAAACATATCGTCGTCTGAGACAGCAGATAATAGCCAGAGTAAGCCAAGAGTGTGTAACATTGTCACTGTTTCTGTACCACAGTCCATAATAAACCACGTCATGGATAAAGTTTACAAAGCCATAGTCAGGTGAGGACCAAGGGTCTTAATATATAATATAATAATAGTCATAAACTGATTGTCTCACAAATGTAACCAGCACATTTCTCCCCACATAGCAAACCCATAATACAGCGAGGGAGAAGAACCACATGAAACTATCCAACTATATATTTTTTCTAACAGGGTAGTAAAAGTTTAGCTGGCTAAGTTGAGCTGTTACTGTGGCTGAGCTGGTTAAAGCGTAAAGCCTTGTTTAAACTCGACGCGTCCGCATGAGCGCAAAGGTGCGCGCGGCAAAAATGACATGATTGTAACAGTGCGCACGCCCCCGCATCCTAGACACCATTTACTAAACACAATAGGCTTTTTTTCTCTGATTTTGAAAACTCTTCGCGATCGACTTAAAATGCTTCCAAGATCGACTTGTCGACCGCGATCGACGGGTTGGTGATTCCTGTAACATACTGTTTTACGGTCAATGACAAGAGTACCAGGGTTTCCGTTGTCCGGTAATTACCGGACATTGGCCGGGAAAAAAATGAAATGTCCGACAAAATTAAATCTCTCCGGTCAAATTGTCCGATTAAAATTGCGTAATAATCCCGCCCCCCTAACACAATATGAATTTGAGAATAAGCCTAAAATTTATAAAGCTAAAATACACCGACCTTTGGCTATGTTATAAAGGAACAGCCTCTACCGTTTGAAAGTTATTAAACAACATCGCATGCTGCATTTCAAATAAAGCGCACGCCTAGAACGGCTGTAATATAGACCTAAACAACGAACGATTGAGTGAGACGTTTCAAATATGGCCAGGTCCATTGATATTATTGATAAAGTTGATAAAGTTGACGATGCAGACTCGCCATCTTCGCAGTATTGAACGCGCCTGAGAGAAGTGTGCTCGCGCCGACGCCTCCGTGTCCTGATTAGCCTATATTGTCCACTATATTTGCTTCTTATTTAATAATCCAGGCAAATTTGTTGATGAAACATTGATTAAAATGAATATACAATTTATACAAAACGAAATTTTCAAGCAAAAATAATATTCGAAGATCGCTGGGTTGATTATTATTCGAAAATTTACACACTAGAGCATGTGAGCAAAGCGGAGCAGTGTGACGCTTATTATAAGTTAAAAAACTTAAATATACGTTTCATTTTTATAAATAATATAATGTTATTATTTTTTTATTTCATCTATGTTGATTAGGCTATATGAAAAGGGAACCGCATGAGATGAGTAAGATAGGATCATATGACCAATAGGCCAATATATCGGAAAACATTTGGAATTGGTCAGACATGATTTTGACCACTTATTTAGTTTTGTTTTGTAGAAAGCCTTTCTTTAAAGTTTATTTCGTTTTCTATAAATTGTATCTTCATTTTAATCAATGTTTCATCAACAAATTTGCCTGGATTAAAAAATAAGAATTTATTCATATGAAGTGAGCATTTCTCTCTAGGCGCATTCACTACTGCGAAGATGGCGAGTCTGCATCGTCAACTTTATCAATTTATCAACAATTTAAATGTTTCATGCATAATCATTACTTTCGCCGGTTCTTTGTGGCAAGCTTTATTTCAGGTGTTGCGTGATATTTCTGCGCCCAAGTAGCAGTGCTTCGCCTATGTATAGTCTCCGCAACGGCGATAGATTGAAACGCGCGTCCAAATGAAGATTGCGCAACTCGCGCAGCGCGTCGTCCATGCGACTGATAGCAGCGGACACGAGCGCTCAGCTTGATTTAAAAAACAACTGATTTTAGCGCTAGATCTCTTATTTAATAGCGAACTAAATGAATGATCTGCTAGTTAACTGGAGATGTTTTATTTATTTGTATTAGGTACATCCGTGCCTCAATGTTTCAAAAAGTGAATGTGTGTGAAACCAAAAACAATTGGTGTTGATTGATGCCAATCGAACATTCATGTTTTTTCTGTATATTTGAAAGTTAGGCTAATAATAACATGTTGCATTCTATACGGCCTGATTATGTATTTTTTTAAGTTACATAGCCTGCCTCCAGTTTTCCTCAACTTGACTAATTAAGAGGCGATATTTGACCGGCATATCATCAAAATGTCCGTTAAACGAAACCTCTGCCGGTCACTATGACCGGCACCATTTTTTTCTAGCGGAAACTCTGAAGAGTACTAATCTCACGAACGTAACCAGCATATTTATCCCCACATAGCAAAGCCATAACACAGCGAGGGAGACGAACTAAGTTACATGAAACAATCCAACTACACATTTACACCACTGACAAGGGAAAAGTCACTACTCACGGTGTCTATGGCTAGCTTCTAGCTTTCTGCGGCTTCTCTTTCAAGGTAGTGACGAAACGCGCTCTGTAGCGCTTTGTGTTCGCGTTCGGCTACGGTAGAAACATGACGCCACAATATGTCGACCTTCATAGAAGGGGGTGCCCGCGGTTATGTAGATATAAATGCCTCATTCTAAGGTAATAAAAACATTTCGGATTATTAAGTAAGTTCTTTATACACCACTGAAAACAGTTATGGATGTCATATTGCATTTCTGTTAATAGATACTCAAAATTATTACACATTGCACCTTTAATCTCTAATTATTTTAGGATAGTATTGCATAGTATTTGACTAGAACATGATAGCAGACAGCTGGTGGGGTCAAAGGCCAACGCTACTCACCATCATAATAAAACCTGATATGGCCTGGCAGGGGTTCATATGGCGGGGGGAACACAGGACCTTTATGCTCCAGAAACTTCCACTTGGAGCCATCTGTGTGTCTCTCCTCTTCCCACCTGAGTAACAGAGCAAGAGAAAGACAGATATTGCATAAAAGATGAAGGGAGCGACATTTCAAGATGAGTACAGATTTGTCTCAATTTCCAATTGTTTTGTCTCACCACTTCCACTTCTCCTCCGGCTCGTTTTTGGCTTTCTTTTTCCCTCCAGTGGTGTCTTTCTTTTCCTCTTTCGTCCTCTTTGGTTTCCTTTCCTGGGTCAGTGAGATATGACGTCAGTAACAGTCAAAAGCCATAGTGAAGGTGTACGTAGTTCAAGAGAAAGAGTGATGTTTACCTCCCTCTCCTCATAATCACTATCGTCCTCCTGTTTACGTTTTTTCACTTTCTTCTCATCCTCCACTTTTACCTTTTTGGGCTTGTGTTTACAACTGCTTTACAAATAGAAATCACAATGGTTTTACATGCCATATGCAAAGGATCATGGGAACAAATCTTATTGCACATACTCGTCTTCATCCCGCTCTCTCTTGAGTGACTTCTCATGTTTGATGGAGTGATGATAGCCATTATCCTCTTCCACTTTAATTGACGGTGGGCTGAAACAAGAGACATTATTTTTACAACATTTTTAGTTTTGATTACATGTTCAGCAGTTTATCTTGGTTTATATATATAATAATACATCTTTTTCATATTTTACAATGTGGGAATGTAAACATTTCAGCACATCGCTGTCTTACCTTACAAAGCCATTCTCTTCATCTCCATATTTCCCATCAGAACTGTGGAACTTCACAACAAAACAAAAACGCACCCAAAATAAGATGTATAAACACATAAGGATGTTCACATACTCACAAGACACAAGGCGAATATTTCATTCATTATATTTTTTTTAACACTCTGGTATGGTACAATTGAATCAACCTTTTCTTCTTTTCGCTTTTCTTTATGCTTAAGTTGGACTTTTTCTTTCTCTCGATGCTTCTCTGAAGAGCTTCTGTGTTCGCTGTAAAACAAATGGAAAAAGATGAGATTCTCCTTTAGGACAATAGATAAAAGAATCTCCAAATGAATAATGCCAACCAAACAGCATGACTGCCAGCAAATACAGCAGATACATATTCCAAAGCTTAAAAAAATAAGATATATTCATCCGCTAGATCTGAAAGTACGAGGGATGTGTTGTACACAATGTTAGAATTATTTCTGCCTTGAAACCAATGTCAAAATAAAGGAAATCACCTGTTGCCGTTCTTTGAGTTGTCCCGCTCTCTCTTGTGGTCCCTGTCTTTATGTTTGTCCTTGTGTTTGTGTGAATCTGAGTCAAAAACAATAGTTTCATAAAGACTTCCCAGATTTACAGGTGATACATCGCAATGAAATCCACAATAATCCATTTGAATTAATTTAAAATGTAAAAAAATTGGACTGCAATGCATTTTAAGACTCCTCAAATGTATGTGATATGCAATTACTTGATGTAGAATCATGTAAATGGCATAAATAAAACTTTAATACACTGCATGATACTACATCATAACAATTACCATGTTATTATGGGATTTTACTAACAACAAAGTAACAGAAGAAACCCCGGCCCAATAGTACCTTGTTGTAACATGTAAAAACCATAGTATATGAATATGGTAATCATAGATTATGTCGGTATACTGTATATTTAGGAAATAAATAAAATTATAATTATAGATATTATACATATGTCCCCATTATGCGTATTAAGCTATCATATACTTAAGTTTTAGTTTAAAACCATTAGACTTTCATTTTTAAGTTTTATATGGCTGTTTTAAATATTTAAAAACTTTAAAAACACTTTGTTGGCATAAAACACATTACTCACAGAGTTCAAATACACCTATTGGAGCCAAATGTCACATAAATGTACTGGTCGTGTACAAAAAGCATTGTGCTGGTCTCCTTCGACTCCTCATGTGCAACCTGCTTTTGTGCTGCTGAACCATTAAAAAACATCTAACCAGCTTTCTTTTATGAAATAAGTTAAACATGATGCTTTGGCAGTACACTAAAGTATAAAGCCAATCCAATGACTGTGAAGAGGGTTTATTTACCAGCTCATAAGCATAGATCAACATATTAATCTCTTAAATGTACTTTAAAATTAGTTATTACCAAATAAATAAGTGACTAATATGAGCAAAATGAAATGGCTCAAGTGTGTGTCTTTTGTGTGTCACCAGAGCCATTGAAAAACAGTTGCAACATGCTTTGATGTCGCAGTCACATGGTTCGTGGAGCTCTCAATAGTGCCAAACAACTAAAAATATTTGCAGCAAATTCTTGTAAAAAATTAAGGCATAATGTGCATTGATTACTACGCTGACTACACTTTACTGTAGCATTTTATTCTGTGCAGAGATAAAGAGACAACATTATTATGATTTTCTTGAGTTTTAGATGTTCCTTTCTTGGGTCACACTCATACTCCTTAGCGGTTAAAAGTGACCAAACACCTTAAGTCTAGCTTTTTATCTTTTTGGTGCTAAATAATATTTGTGCAATAATTATGATCCATTAATGACCATTTGAAAAAAAAAAAAATTCTAATATGTTTATTATACATAACAATTAGTGTAGTATTTAGGGTTAAAATAGAGAAAAAGGTTTTAAATTTCAATGCAAAGAGGGAAATTAAAGGTTTCTGGTGGCCGGAAAAAAATATATTCATATGTAATGCATTGGTTTAACCATTAGATGCCTGTTTGGCTCTTTAATAATAGCTCTAGGGTACATTTACACGACAATGATAAACTAAAAACGGAGAAGTTTTTCCTTTGTGTTTTTCACATACAGACCACAATGTTGTTAAAACTATCCCTGTACACACAGTTTCGCGAAAAGTTTGCTTCATAAAATACCACTACTGGCTAAATTCCTGAGAAGTCAACTAAAATGTAAAAAAATGCAGTCATTTCATTAACTTATCAGCGATCAACTTTTCATTAAAGCATCAGCGAGTGTGCTTGAGAAACACTGAACTATTGGTTGCTTGGAACTATTGGTTGCTTGGAACTATTGGTTGTGAACTATTGGTTGCTTGGAACTATTGGTTGCTTGGAACTATTGGTTGCTTGGAACTATTGGTTGTGAACTATTGGTTGCTTGGAACTATTGGTTGTGAACTATTGGTTGCTTGGAACTATTGGTTGCTTGGAACTATTGGTTGTGAACTATTGGTTGTGAACTATTGGTTGCTTGGAACTATTGGTTGCTTGGAACTATTGGTTGCTTGGAACTATTGGTTGTTTGGAACTATTGGTTGCTTGGAACTATTGGTTGCTTGGAACTATTGGTTGGTTGTGAACTGTTGGTTGCTTGGAACTATTGGTTGCTTGGAATTATTGGTTGTGAACTATTGGTTGTTTGGAACTATTGGCTGCTTGGAACTATTGGTTGCTTGGAACTATTGGTTGGTTGTGAACTGTTGGTTGTTTGGAACAATTGGTTGCTTGGAACAATTGGTTGCTTGGAACTTTTGGTTGTGAACTGTTGGTTGTTTGGAACTATTGGTTGCTTGGAACTATTGGTTGTGAACTATTGGTTGTGAACTATTGGTTGCTTGGAACAATTGGTTGCTTGGAACTATAGGTTGCTTGGAACTATTGGTTGTGAACTATTGGTTGCTTGGAACTATTGGTTGCTTGGAACTATTGGTTGCTTGGAACTATTGGTTGCTTGGAACTATTGGTTGTTTGGAACTATTGGTTGCTTGGAACTATTGGTTGCTTGGAACTATTGGTTGCTTGGAACAATTGGTTGCTTGGAACTATTGGTTGTGAACTATAGGTTGCTTGGAACTATTGATTGTTTGGAACTATTGGTTGCTTGGAATTATTGGTTGCTTGAAACTATTGGTTGCTTGAAACTATTGGTTGCTTGAAACTATTGATTGTTGTGAACTATTGGGTGCTTGGAACTATTGGTTGCTTGGAACTATTGGTTGCTTGGAACTATTGGTTGCTTGGAACTATTGGTTGTGAACTATTGATTGTTTGGAACTATTGGTTGCTTGGAATTATTGGTTGCTTGAAACTATTGGTTGTGAACTTTTGGTTGCTTGAAACTATTGATTGTTGTGAACTATTGGTTGTGAACTATTGGGTGCTTGGAACTATTGGTTGCTTGGAACTATTGCTTGTGAACTATTGGTTGCTTGAAACTATTGATTGTTGTGAACTATTGGTTGCTTGGAACTATTGGTTGCTTGGAACTATTGATTGTTTGGAACTATTGGTTGCTTGGAACTATTGGTTGCTTGGAACTATTGGTTGCTTGGAACTATTGATTGTTTGGAACTATTGGTTGCTTGGAACTATTGGTTGTGAACTATTGGTTGCTTAGAACTATTGATTGTTTGGAACTATTGGTTGCTTGGAATTATTGGTTGCTTGAAACTATTGGTTGTGAACAATTGGTTGTGAACTATTGGTTGCTTGGAATTATTGGTTGTGAACTATTGGTTGTTTGGAACTATTGGTTGCTTGGAACTATTGGTTGGTTGTGAACTGTTGGTTGCTTGGAACTATTGGTTGCTTGGAATTATTGGTTGTGAACTATTGGTTGTTTGGAACTATTGGTTGCTTGGAACTATTGGTTGCTTGGAACTATTGGTTGGTTGTGAACTGTTGGTTGCTTGGAACAATTGGTTGCTTGGAACAATTGGTTGCTTGGAACTTTTGGTTGTGAACTGTTGGTTGTTTGGAACTATTGGTTGCTTGGAACTATTGGTTGTGAACTATTGGTTGTGAACTATTGGTTGCTTGGAACAATTGGTTGCTTGGAACTATAGGTTGCTTGGAACTATTGGTTGCTTGGAACTATTGGTTGTGAACTATTGGTTGCTTGGAACTATTGGTTGCTTGGAACTATTGGTTGTGAACTATTGGTTGTTTGGAACTATTGGTTGCTTGGAACTATTGGTTGCTTGGAACAATTGGTTGCTTGGAACTATTGGTTGTGAACTATAGGTTGCTTGGAACTATTGATTGTTTGGAACTATTGGTTGCTTGGAATTATTGGTTGCTTGAAACTATTGGTTGTGAACTATTGGTTGCTTGAAACTATTGATTGTTGTGAACTATTGGTTGTGAACTATTGGGTGCTTGGAACTATTGGTTGCTTGGAACTATTGGTTGCTTGGAACTATTGGTTGTGAACTATTGGTTGTGAACTATTGATTGTTTGGAACTAGTGGTTGCTTGGAATTATTGGTTGCTTGAAACTATTGGTTGTGAACTTTTGGTTGCTTGAAACTATTGATTGTTGTGAACTATTGGTTGTGAACTATTGGGTGCTTGGAACTATTGGTTGCTTGGAACTATTGCTTGTGAACTATTGGTTGCTTGAAACTATTGATTGTTGTGAACTATTGGTTGCTTGGAACTATTGGTTGCTTGGAACTATTGATTGTTTGGAACTATTGGTTGCTTGGAACTATTGGTTGCTTGGAACTATTGATTGTTTGGAACTATTGGTTGCTTGGAACTATTGGTTGTGAACTATTGGTTGCTTAGAACTATTGATTGTTTGGAACTATTGGTTGCTTGGAATTATTGGTTGCTTGAAACTATTGGTTGTGAACAATTGGTTGTGAACTATTGGTTGCTTGGAATTATTGGTTGTGAACTATTGGTTGTTTGGAACTATTGGTTGCTTGGAACTATTGGCTGCTCCACGACACGCATTTCACAATTCCCATGAAAGTCTATGGGAGTGTCGCAACTCTGTTGTTCAACAGCTCTGCCCTACACATAAGTTATGATGTCAAACTGGAACTCAAAGTGACAAATAGAGCAATTTTTGTTTAGCTTTTTATTGCTTCAAAGTTGAAAATAGGAAGAGTATGTAGGCTTATGAGTGCCCTCAAACTGATCTGATAGCATCACTGTTCCTCCACAAATATATATACACACTACCAGTCAACAATTTTAAAAGAATCCTGAATTTTTTTTTTTACACAGCTGTTTTCAACATTGATAATAATAATGAGAAATGTTTCTTGAGCAGCAAATCATCATATTAGAATGATTTCTGAAGGATCATGTGACACTGACGACTGGAGTAATGATGCTGAAACTTCAGCTTTGATCACAGGAATAAATTACATTTTAAAATATATTAAAATAGAAAACAGTTATTTTAAATTGTCATAACATTTAACATTTTTTTAAATGCAGCCATGGTGAGCAGAAGAGACTTCTTTTAAAAACAATAAAAAAAAATTACCGATCCAGAACTTTTGACTGGTAGTGTATACATACCATATAGGGTTTTGCTTTAAATAAATTAGTTTAGGCTTTAAAATGAATGTTGTTTGTAATAAAATACACTATAATTTGTTTATTCGATAGGCTACTATAAAATAAACATAAGGCCAACTAAAATACATGTTTATAATGTTTGTAAATATTTTGTTTTATCTACTGGTATTTTACATTCATTTTAAATATAATAATAAAATGTGACTGATACACCAATGTTTTTTATTTGTCAACAACTTGTTTGTCCATACAGATGGGGGCCATTAATTGAACAAATAAGACAAGCATATGTTCATTACTCCCATCCACATTAACTTTGTGTTTAATCACTGTCATAATTATGAGGGGTCCTTGGAAAATGTTCTACCCTACAAGGGGTCCCTGCTGGCCCCAAAAAGTTTGAGAACCCCTGCCATAGTATTACCATTCTGGTACTACCATTAATAATGATGTACTACCATGGTCCTAAAATGTCAGTATTTTTTGTTAATGTTACTACTAACACATAGTTTGGGTGAAATGCCATATAACTGATATTTTATTCTAACAATAACTGTCACGTAAAAATAGATTTCATGGCAAAAAAGATAGCAAAACCTTTTTTATATTATGATTTTACAGTAACAACTGTAGTAATAATGGCATTTTTGGTGGCTATAAAGGTGAGCCAGTTGTCTGTTACATGAGTTATTGCTGCTCATATTCAGTCAGAGATTCAGAGTAGAGAAAATGGCGCAGAGACTAAGTCCTCGCGCATCCTTTCCCCACTTTCAGCGGCCAAATTCAGCACGTTACCCTTCAAAATCCACACGATGACAGTCATTTTCCGATAATCGATCTACTACTCTATGTGAATGTGATCTCAGTGTGAGGCATTTCAGGTGTCAAGTGTGATTTTCCAGTGCAGTTTCTGAACAATAGACAGCAGAGAGAGCGGCTGACGGGACTTAGTCTCTGACGCCATTTCTGCTCCATCTCACTGTCAGTGTCACGAGCGCTGCTTCATCACCTGTAAATACACACTTACTGTAGTCCACAGACCCGGACTCCATCTGAAACACACACATTTACACAGCATTTAAACATACCATGTCGCATTTCAATAACAAAAAACAATGCAATTAGAAGATATTCGCGCATAAAGTTGGCGTTGCGCTATTAAAATATGCACAATCTTAACTATTCGTTTGTAAAGTTTACGTATAATTTCACTTCAAATAAATGTCCTGCGAGAATAGTTTAATATAGATAACATGTTCGAAATTTGGTACCTGATGGCGTTTATGTACATGATCTCCACTCATGTTGAGACTCTGAAGATGAAGAATAAGATGATGAAGGTATTATCTAGAAATGACAAAGATGCCGGTATTTTAAAAGCTGTGACAAAATGATGACTGTCGTCGAGGGTTAAGTCTGACTGTACCACTACTGCGCATGCGCTGCATGCTTGCGTTTAAATGCCGACGAGTTCACAGGATCCTAAAAACTCTTCAACTAGACGAGACCACAACATTATGCAAACTCACATCTCAAGTTAAGATCTAAAGCCAGGTTTAACAAGTTAATTTATCGTGTATTACGTCGAATTTAAGTCTTATGAAACCGAAATATGTGTGTAGGGGAGAATGGTGCTAGTTTTTCTGAAGACTGAGTCAAAAGTCCAATTAGCCTACATCTCCAATAATAACCAACTGCAGAAAACCCCCCGCTTTATTTTATAGTTGCTAGAGCCTATTTACAACATTTCTTTGTGTTTGTGCTCATGTGTGATTACAAAAATCATTATCATAAAGTAAATGACCACTAAAATAATTCATATAGGCTAATTGTTTTTGACATGATCTAATGAAAAATGAAGCTGGTTATAATTACTAATGATACTTACTTCCTCATGTAAACAACACATTTTTCGTTTATAAGAGACAGGTAAGCCTAGTCAATGAAGTTTTAAGATTTATGAATAATATATAGCTGAATTAGGAGTTTACGGCGGTATGAGCCTACAATAACAGACCAGGCATTAGTCAGACATTAATTAATCAGAAAATGGTCATTTAGTTTATCCTTTAGTAATAAAGGCATCTATACCTAATAAAAAATAAGAAAGTTTTAAGTGGTTCTTTGAAAATAGTTCTCTATAGATTATTATTATTATCTTATTGATGTGGAAAGGAAATGCTTACTATCAATACAAGCTTTTTAATAAACCATAAACATTTTTAAGCATTTAATGTCAAGTGACAAGAAAAATTGAAGTACTAAACCAAAACCAATATGTTGTACTGGTTTGGTCACTTGGCAGCCAAGTCTGACTTTGTTTAAAAAACTTAATTAGACAAAACTTAAATATGGTGTTCAGGTTTTTTTTAAATGCCCAATAAGTCACGTTTCTACAAATATTTGTTTTAATTGTGAATTATCTGTTCCTCATGTGTGTTCTCCTTGTGCTGCCAAAACAGCTCTGATGCGTCGAGGCTTGGACTCCACAAGACCTCTGAACGTGTCCTGTGGTTTCTGGCACCAAGAAGCCATCACTATTTGGCCCTTGTTAAGTAAGTCACTCTTGTTAAAGGCACTGAGATCTTTACACCTGCACATTTTTCCTGCTTCCAACACTTTGTATTATCTGGACCAAGCAGACACACACAAATTGTTCATTATATTTAATGAATAATCCAGAAAACTCACTCTCCCAACAATGGTCTATGAAACTTCCCCCAAAACTAACATCCCAAATGAAGCTAACACACTGGCAGAACCTGGTGTCCTGTTACAGACACCTTAAGACTGATAAGAGTTTTTACGACCCCAAAAGGAATTTGCAGAGAGTTGTGACTCTCACTTAATTCTTGCTGAGGAGGAGAAATAAACCCTTTTAATATATTCTATATATAACCACTTGAGAAATGTATAAACATGCATCTAATTTTCCCATTTCATGATTTTCCTTTTATGTGGTTTGGCCTATGTATTCATTTTCTCTTCTAAACTCTTTTGAATTAATGTTTCAGACTTGCATACTATGGTTAACCAAAATCATTTGTGTAGCATGTTTGGTCTCTATAAACTCCAATCTTCGTCCCCCATTTGTTAATGTACATTACATTTTGCTAACTTTGTGATGCATTAGTATTATAAGAATCTTGAAGATTCTTTTGTTAAACACCCAATCAAATTACATCCAGAGGGTGAGACATCTTCACACTTTAAAAATCACTGATCACAAGATCACGCCCTCTTAGGCCACGTCCACACGAAGCCGGTGCGTTCCCTATCCGATATTTTTTTTCCCTCGTTCTAAAAAAAACCCCTCTGTAAACACGGAAATATCTGCGTACACACCAAGGGGGTAATCCATCGACCGGAAGTTGAAGCCGGCCGGGTGCCGCCATGTCGTAGCAGAACTTCACTTGCGTTAGCATTTCCATTGACTCCCATTCATTTTGGCGTCACTTTGACAGCGAATAACTTTACATCTGAGGCGTTTAAAGACTCCATTTGTCCATTATTTATTTCTAAAGAAACACGACAATGTATAAAGGGCTCCATTACCTTCTATGTTACATTATGGCCCCGTAGAAACAGATTTAGTAAAAATAGGCTAACGATTGCGTCATAACCACTCGACTCTCTGTCGCGCTGTACAGAAGTTACCGTACAGACAGGAGGAGAAGCTCGCAGGCAATCGGGGGGACGTCCCGTCAAGAGAGAAGCCCATAGATAATGAGTCCATAAAAGCAATGGAATACTTACTCCTGCTCACTCACGCCAAAGAACTCTTTGCTCAAGTTCCCCGTCTCTGCAAGATTAACGTTGGCAATTTTCACGCACAGCTACTAGAAGATTAACGTCTGTCAGACAGGTTGCTCACGTCATCAAGCTTAGTTTGAGTCGGTTTGAGTCTGCGCGTCAGGAACGGAAGTGCTCAAAAATCGCCAAAAATGGGCTTCAACTGTCTCAACTGAGTTCCAATGAGATGGCTCTGTCCACTTCTTATACTGTCTATGGTACACACGAAACCACTGAAACCGACTGAAAACGGTGTAGTATATATGCCAGACCAGTATGGGGCGCTGTAATTCTGCCACAGATACACACTATACACGGAGAAGAAGACTTTGAGCATGCGCATAACCTTGCGCGCTGTATACGAACCAAGAAGAACCTTTTTTTTTTTTTTTTTTGGCAAAAATAATGTTACGGGTTATTATTTATGTTCTATTTCACTTATTTACAAGCAAAATGTGTATTGAACGCTTTGTGCAGTTTGACAGTTCAACATCAGTGATTCTCTGATTCATGTTATAAACACCTGCATTTCAGCAGAGTTGAACAAGCATGTCCAGACGCAAGCGTGATGTTTCAGCCCGCTTCAGAAGAGAAGAGGTGGGATCCCGCTGCCGAACAGCAGCTTCCATGAGGGAGGAACCCGCCACTGCACTGAGCCCTGCGTAGGTTTTTCCAGCAGATGGAGCCAGTCATTGAGATGGTTGATGAGAGCAAAAGCATCAGGGATGTTGTCCCCTTCTGAGCAGAAGATCAGCACTACTGCCATAGGGATGTCCTCTGTGCAGCAGTCTGTGTACAGGGCTTTGGTCACTCCTCCTCCAGGAATGTAGAGCCGCTGCTCTGAGTCGGAGATCTCAGGGAACACGCTGATTCTCTCCATCTCCCTCCAGCCCAGCTCCTCCACCCGCTGGCCCTCCTCCTTCTGCAGAGACGGGCTCAGCAGGTACCGCAGAGGAGTGCCATGAAGCTGTTGGTCGTCTCTCTGATAAGCGTAACTGCTGGACAGCAGCACACTTCTGAGGAATCCACTACTCTTGATCCAGGAAACAATCAGCTTTCGGAATGATCTGACCTTTGTCTGGATGATGGATGTTCTTATCTGCAGGACAGCCAGCTTTAAGTCACTGTGGGAGTAAACCTCTGCGCTGATGCTGAGCTGGGCAGCATCCTCAGTGGATGTGGCATACGGGTTGTTTCCAACCATGGGAATCAGACAGTCCGTGTGGAAGTGTCCCACTCTGGGCATATTTAATGTTGAGATGAGGAGATCCACGGCGAGCTGTCCCACGTTTCCAACAGATACTGCAGGCATTATCAACGTAAAGCCTTTAAAAGATGGAACTACATCCCCCGCCGAAATGAACATTTTTAAAACGGTTTAGATTTAATTTAGAAGATAAATTCAGATAATTGCAGTGGATCTGTAGTGATTTTTACTTTCAATTTCTTGCGCTCACGAACCAAGAAGAACCATTATTGTTGTTGCTGTTACGTGTGACGCAGCCGACAAGTGATGTGATGACATCATCGTTTCACAAAATATATACGGATTGGCTGTACACACGAAACCGCAAGGGTGTCGTTTTCAGATTTATCCACTTTGGGACCCGGTTTCAAAAAATAGCGGTTTCACTCTCCCAAATGCCGGATCTGTGTGGACGAAACGCCAATACGATAATAACTGTATACGTATACAGCGAAACGCGTCTTCGTGTGGACAGGCCCTTAGTCCCTTTCTGAAATCCTGATGTGAAGATGATGCTGAACTAGAAGTCCCCCAAGGACCCCCAAGCTTGTGCCAGGCTGCGGCCTTGTCTTTCCGTACAAAGATCCTATACCCTAATTATTAGTCTTGTTCATATAACACGTAAAGTTGTCCATGTCTCAAGCTCATATACTGGAGTCCCTAATCATGCAGATTTTGACTACTTGCTCTTAGTAGTACTGTACAGTAAGAAAGAGACTTCTCATACCCCAGAAATGTACATTTCAGTGTTCACGGGACAAACATGTCAATTGATTGTAGCTAATATTAATTTTACAACATTAAGTTAATTCTATAAACTGACCCAAATACTCATAATCAATTATAACAAGTTATGATTGATTAAAAATATTTCTTTAGAACTAATTTGCTCCAACTTGAAGTTCAAGAATGACTGTTCACTTGTCAGGCGCCATTATAATGATATAATCAATGTTATTCATTTCACCTGTCAGTGGTTTTAATGTTGTGGCTGATCAGTGTGCTTCTTTGTGTAAAATTAGACAAACCTATATACCCAAAGAAAAGGTCACTTGAATAAAAAGTATAACATTTCATTTAGTTTGCATTTTTTTATACCACTGAGAATCATCCTTGTGTGTTTTTGCCATATTTCTTTACACTGCAATGAAGACTATTCATTACTGCACTCCACATGCATACAAACGTTTTGGTAAAAATATTTATTATAAGCACATTTAATTTTGTTCATTATGTAAAACCTAAAAATAAGCAAAATGGTGAAAAAGAAACATTTCGAACCAACATGGTGCCACACTATGAACAACCCCCCCAAAAAAACACACACAAAAAAAAAACACAGCTGATATACAAATAAAGGAACAGACAAAAGTGATGAAAAGAGAGGGTGGTCATATCTCCTGAGAGTCTTTGATGGGACAGCTGGACAGAACAGACTCACACGCCTTCGATAAATTCTTCTGGCAGCTCACACAGATGTCCTGACTGTACCAGTCGCGCATAGCCCGAGCGTGAACAGATGTCGAGTCCGTCCCGCACGACACTAGAACCAGAGGAATCCTGTGGCATAGAGCAGACACACATTACACCGAGTACAGTATGGTATCCATACAAATGAACGAAAACACGCAGGTCAGACCAATCAGTGCATAATCATTCTGCAAGTGATGAAATCGGATATATTTGAGAGATTGTAGTCAAATGTCCAGTATTTCTATATTGATGGCAATATTAATAAAGCGAGAAACTGGAAGCTTGCCTATGCAGACCTCCATCATGACATTTGGCTGAGCTCACGAGATGAACGACAACATGCTTTTGAGGCACAGTATTTTTCATTGATGTTGTGAAGGAGTATGTGGACCAAGCAAAACTAAAGCAGTAGTTCTAAGCCTTTTTGACTTGAAAGCACCGCATTGTCCAACACAATATTCAAAGGCTAGAACATTTCCTCTGGTATTTCTGCTGTAATCATAACAAAGCTTTTATTGTGACAAACATAACTTGTTTTTAAACTTAAATATTCTCAGTTTCTGTTAATTATGTAAAATTAACCATTCTATTCAAGACTAGAAATCTATGTTCTTTAAAAAAAAAAAGTTAGAGTGGGGGAAAAAAAGTGCATTTTAGGCAAGTTTACATTTAACAACAATCTCTAGAGTTTACAGAGAATAGTCCCAAAAAGATAAAATAACCAGTGAGCAGTTAGTCTCTGGGTAAAAATGCCTGAACCACATCCAACCTTGAAGCAGAAGAGCATCTCTGAAGGTCCAACACATCCAACCTTGAAGCAGAAGAGCATCTCTGAAGGTCCAACACGTACAACACATCCAACCTTGAAGCAGAAGAGCATCTTTGAACGTTCAACACGCTCTTCTGCTTCAAGGTTGGACGTGTTGTGCGTTCAAAGATGCTCTTCTGCTTCAAGGTTGGACATCTCTGAAGGCTCAACACGACCAACCTTGAAGCAGAAGAGCATCTCTGAACGCACAACACGTCCAACCTTGAAGCAGAAGAGCGTGTTGAACGTTCAGAGATGCTCTTCTGCTTCAAGGTTGGATGTGTTGAGCGTTCAGAGATGTGTTCAGAGATGCTCTTCTGCTTCAAGGTTGGACGTGTTGAGCCTTCAGAGATGTGTTCAGAGATGCTCTTCTGCTTCAAGGTTGGATGTGTTGAGCCTTCAGAGATGTGTTCAGAGATGCTCTTCTGCTTCAAGGTTGGATGTGTTGAGCGTTCAGAGATGTGTTCAGAGATGCTCTTCTGCTTCAAGGTTGGACGTGTTGAGCCTTCAGAGATGCTCTTCTGCTTCAAGGTTGGATGTGTTGAGCGTTCAGAGATGTGTTCAGAGATGCTCTTCTGCTTCAAGGTTGGACGTGATGAGCCTTCAGAGATGCTCTTCTGCTTCAAGGTTGGATGTGTTGAGTGTTCAGAGATGCTCTTCTGCTTCAAGGTTGGATGTGTTGAGCGTTCAGAGATGCTCTTCTGCTTCAAGGTTGGATGTGTTGAGCGTTCAGAGATGTGTTCAGAGATGCTCTTCTGCTTCAAGGTTGGTCGTGTTGAGCCTTCAGAGATGCTCTTCTGCTTCAAGGTTTGATGTGTTGAGTGTTCAGAGATGCTCTTCTGCTTCAAGGTTGGATGTGTTGAGCGTTCAGAGATGCTCTTCTGCTTCAAGGTTGGATGTGTTGAGCGTTCAGAGATGCTCTTCTGCTTCAAGGTTGGACGTGTTGAGCCTTCAGAGATGTGTTCAGAGATGCTCTTCTGCTTCAAGGTTGGACGTGTTGAGCGTTCAGAGATGTGTTCAGAGATGCTCTTCTGCTTCAAGGTTGGATGTGTTGAGCCTTCAGAGATGTGTTCAGAGATGCTCTTCTGCTTCAAGGTTGGTCGTGTTGAGCTTTCAGAGATGTGTTCAGAGATGCTCTTCTGCTTCAAGGTTGGATGTGTTGAGCGTTCAGAGATGCTCTTCTGCTTCAAGGTTGGATGTGTTGAGCGTTCAGAGATGCTCTTCTGCTTCAAGGTTGGTCGTGTTGAGCCTTCAGAGATGTGTTCAGAGATGCTCTTCTGCTTCAAGGTTGGACGTGTTGAGCGTTCAGAGATGTGTTCAGAGATGCTCTTCTGCTTCAAGGTTGGACGTGTTGAGCCTTCAGAGATGTGTTCAGAGATGCTCTTCTGCTTCAAGGTTGGACGTGTTGAGCGTTCAGAGATGCTCTTCTGCTTCAAGGTTGGACGTGTTGAGCCTTCAGAGATGTGTTCAGAGATGCTCTTCTGCTTCAAGGTTGGACGTGTTGAGCCTTCAGAGATGTGTTCAGAGATGCTCTTCTGCTTCAAGGTTGGACGTGTTGAGCGTTCAAAGATGCTCTTCTGCTTCAAGGTTGGATGTGTTGAGCCTTCAGAGATGTGTTCAGAGATGCTCTTCTGCTTCAAGGTTGGATGTGTTGAGCCTTCAGAGATGTGTTCAGAGATGCTCTTCTGCTTCAAGGTTGGACGTGTTGAGCGTTCAGAGATGCTCTTCTGCTTCAAGGTTGGACGTGTTGAGCATTCAGAGATGCTCTTCTGCTTCAAGGTTGGACGTGTTGAGCGTTCAGAGATGCTCTTCTGCTTCAAGGTTGGACGTGTTGAGCATTCAGAGATGCTCTTCTGCTTCAAGGTTGGTCGTGTTGAGCCTTCAGAAATGTGTTCAGAGATGCTCTTCTGCTTCAAGGTTGGTCGTGTTGTGCGTTCAGAGATGCTCTTCTGCTTCAAGGTTGGACATCTCTGAATGCACAACACGACCAACCTTGAAGCAGAAGAGCATCTCTGAACGCTCAACACGTCCAACCTTGAAGCAGAAGAGGATCTCTGAACGCTCAACACGACCAACCTTGAAGCAGAAGAGCATCTCTGAACGCTCAACACGACCAACCTTGAAGCAGAAGAGCATCTCTGAACGCTCAACACGACCAACCTTGAAGCAGAAGAGCATCTCTGGACACTCAACACATCCAACCTTGAAGCAGAAGAGCATCTTTGAACGTTCAACACGCTCTTCTGCTTCAAGGTTGGACGTGTTGTGCGTTCAGAGATGCTCTTCTGCTTCAAGGTTGGACGTGTTGTGCATTCAGAGATGCTCTTCTGCATCAAGGTTGGACGTGTTGAGCGTTCAGAGATGCTCTTCTGGTTCACGGTTGGACGTGTTGAGCCTACAGAGATGTGTTCAGAGATGCTCTTCTGCTTCATGGTTAGATGTGTTGAGCCTTCAGAGATTTGTTCAGAGATGCTCTTCTGCTTCAAGGTTGGACGTGTTGAACGTTCAAAGATGCTCTTCTGCTTCAAGGTTGGATGTGTTGAGCCTTCAGAGATGTGTTCAGAGATGCTCTTCTGCTTCAAGGTTGGATGTGTTGAGCGTTCAGAGATGTGTTCAGAGATGCTCTTCTGCTTCAAGGTTGGTCGTGTTGAGCCTTCAGAGATGTGTTCAGAGATGCTCTTCTGCTTCAAGGTTGGACGTGTTGAGCCTTCAGAGATATGTTCAAAGATGCTCTTCTGCTTCAAGTTTGGACGTGTTGAGCGTTCAGAGATGCTCTTCTGCTTCAAGGTTGGTCGTGTTGTGTGTTCAGAGTTGCTCTTCTGCTTCAAGGTTGGACGTGTTGAGCATTCAGAGATGCTCTTCTGCTTCAAGGTTGGTCGTGTTGAGCGTTCAGAGATGCTCTTCTGCTTCAAGGTTGGACGTGTTGAGCGTTCAAAGATGCTCTTCTGCTTCAAGGTTGGACATCTCTGAACGCACAACACGACCAACCTTGAAGCAGAAGAGCATCTCTGAAGGCTCAACACGACCAACCTTGAAGCAGAAGAGCATCTCTGAACACACAACACGACTAACCTTGAAGCAGAAGAGCATCTCTGATGTGTTGAGCCTTCAGAGATGCTCTTCTGCTTCAAGGTTGGTCGTGTTGTGTGTTCAGAGATGCTCTTCTGCTTCAAGGTTGGACGTGTTGAGCATTCAGAGATGCTCTTCTGCTTCAAGGTTGGTCGTGTTGTGTGTTCAGAGATGCTCTTCTGCTTCAAGGTTGGTCGTGTTGTGCGTTCAGAGATGCTCTTCTGCTTCAAGGTTGGACGTGTTGAGCGTTCAGAGATGCTCCATACTCCACCCAAAAATGAAAATTCTGTCATCATTTACTCACCCTGAAGTTGTTTCAAACCAGTAGGGGTGTGCAAAAAAATCGATTCACATTTGAATCGCGATTCAATCTTTACCGATTCAGAATCGATTCATAGAATTCCAAAAATCGATTCATATATATTTTTTTTAATGGCGTGCACGGGCGGAGTGGCAATCGGGTGAGTCGGGACTTTTACCGGTGGTCCGGTAGTGTTTCGAGGCTGCGAGGGCCGGTCTGATAAATAGTTATACATTGCAAGTTCTTGCCGCCCGCTGGTCAAACTGTGCACCCTCTGCTCAACCCGTAAATAAATGCATCGATCCGCAGATCTTATGTTTGAGTTCTGTAGATCTTTTGCCAAGCGTGTCAGAGGTTACGGGTTCTAAACCGCACTCGTATAGTGTTTTCTCTCTCTCATCAAAACCCAATATGTTCATCACGTTTGTGAGCATTTTATTTTGTGATTTTACCGGAGTCTCCCCAACGGCGATAGATTGAAGCGCGCGTCCGAGTGAAGACTGCGCGAGCCACAGAGAACGCTGTATCCATGACACTGATAGCAGCGGCAACGAGCGCTCAGCTTGATTTCAAAAACAACAGATCTCTTATTTAATAGCAAACTAAATGAAGGCTCTGCTAGTTAACTGGAGATACCCGCAAATTACGCCTATGAACGACTTCACTGGATCTAAACAAATCAATCTAAACCATAGATGTTACCAGTAGCGGTGGCTTTTTAAAATCTATTTAAAATAATTTCGCAAGGGTTCTATGACATTAGTATATATTTTTAGGAAGTTCAATGTGCACAGTCGAGTTCACATTTCAACAGTCAACCTAGCTGAAGTAGTCCTTAAACCACATTTAGCAAAATTGTGTGTTTGATCTGACTACAGCACTTTAAAGCTAAATGTAAAAGCTTCTATTTAAGTTTTATTTTAAACTTGAATTAAATGTAAGCTGGCCAAAGCTTGGCACTTTGCACTTTTTAGTTTATTTTTGTATGAAGTCATATAAAGTAATATCAAACTACATTTAATTTGTTGTGTTTTTTTTTCTTCTAAATTGTCTCTACTGCAATCAATCACAGGAAAAAGTAGACTACATTTATATACTGCGAATCGTTTTTTGAATCGAGAATCGTTTTTGAATCGAAAATCGATTTTGAATCGAATCTTGAGACAAAAAAATCGGTATCGAATCGAATCGTGACATTTTCTGAATCGTGCACCCCTACAAACCAGTATGAGTTTCTTTCTTCTGCTGAAAACAAATGAGAATATTTTGAAGAATGATTGGAACCAAACAGTTGTTTGGCACCATTGACTTCCATAGTAGAAAAAAAAATACTATGGAAGTCAATGGTGCCAAAGTTCCAATTGTTCTTCAAAGTATCTTCCTTTGTGTTCAGCAGAAGAAAGAAACTCATACATTATATTTTTGAAAGTGTCACTTGCTGTTTCTTTGTAATCATTTGTGAAATTTACTAGCAATTTCTGAGTGAAAATTGTTTCTACACCAAATTTTTTCACAGTATTTTGCAAAAACTGTGTACTTGGTGCAACAGATATTGTCTACTTACCAGGCTGAATTCCAGGACCAGCGCTCATTCCAGAAATTTATCTGGCTTTGCTCACCATCTTTCATCACGATTTGCTTGAAGAAGCTCAGCGGAAGGTTCACACAGTGCTTGGAGGGCAGGTGCATCTGTTACAGAGAACACATGCAAATGAACAGCCAGACGCCATTAATGGCATCCAAACATTCAATACATTAGAGCCCAGCTTACCTCTATACAACACCCAGGACACACAACCCTGTGAACACACAGCAGAAGTCACAGGACCGCAAGTTTCATCGTGAGCGGATTCAGAGAAATTAGTGATCTTACCTCCGACACAGAGAGCAAATATTATGCCACGTGAAATAAAGACTTCTCATTGCACAGCATGAGCAAACCTAAGAAGAACAGACTTTTAGGCTATGTTCAGACTGCCAGCTAAAATCAGATTTTTCGCATAACCAGATTTTATCCAGGTGGGTTTTTGAAAGTCTGGGCAGCAAAAAAAAAAAAAAAAAAAAACACACATAAAATCAGATTTTTTTTTTTCAAATTCAAACCACATTTGAAGTCTGATTTCAATTCGATTTTTTAAGGTGCGTCTCAGTCTGGCTGCACAAATCGTCACTCTAAATGCGACACACAACAATAACAAAACCGCTGACGGAAATTCCAGAAGTATTCATACTGTATTCAACGGTATGTCAGAAGATTTCAGCCGTGACTAAGAACAATCACAGCATATAGCAGTCTCCTCCATCGCTGAGTTTTCCCTGTGTGAAGGAAGAGTTCTGCACCACGACTCGACGCTAATTTGGAGAGCAAGATGATGCACCTCCATTTTTCCCGCATGCATTTTGAAAGCTTAGTCACAAACATTGTCACACCTAGGCCGTCACCAAACCAACCCTTGGTTATGCCTGGACACACAAAACGTATTTGCAGACAGTCTGCCTGAAAAGATCTGATTTGAGAAAAATATTCCTGAATCAGGAATTCTCACCCGCCAGTCCCGGGATCTCTCACACAACATATTATCCAGATCTCCTTTTTCTTCAGAACTGTGCATTTTCATGACATCAACGATCGTTGTGAGAACAGACCCCTTGTTACTGCTCTTAACCTTGGGGGGGGGGGAATAATATGAATTACAATTTGTGTCTAAGAGTCAGAACAATAAGATGAAGCTAGAAAAGTGTTTTATTTTTTAACTTGCAAATACCCAAGTAAAGTTAAATGTGGATACTTTACGTTCACACGAGATTTTTGTTGATATAAAAAGTGCAGAGACATTGCATTTCATGCAACTTAATGTGCACAGAGTAAATGTTTCAAGTAATTTCCTTGATCATAAGGTGACGCACCACTTTGAAGAGATCCCTGTTGCAAGCAAAAGATCTGGTCCGGCGGTTTCCTGTGCAGACTCTGATGCCTAGGGGATAAGATGACATGTTAACCACATTAAAGAAAAAAATTATCATTTTGGTAAATCTTATGATCTGGATATCTTTTTTTTCCTCTTTTTTTTCATATTTCATCTAAAAAAACAAGAAAAAAAGACATTGAGACTTTTTCCAAGCCAGTTAATCCCCAATAACTAATATCTAATGGGTATTGTGTATTAATGGATTAAATGTACTTAATTCTCATTAAGAAATTTAATAATTTTGCTTTTGTTGTAATTTACATTTATTTTATTTGGAGGTCAATTGTGACAGGCACAAACTTGTCAGGTTTCACATTTTGCAGCAAAAATAAAGATCTCACCTGTAACTCTGGCGTCTTGCACAGGATTTCCTGAACCAAGAGTTTCCTGCACAGTTAGGGAATACATTTTACACAACTATAAAATTGCAAAGTGATGTGTGATTTGTCGGGTCCCCGCTATGACAACAGTACAGGAACACTTCCTCACCCAGTGTTCCTGTATCTTTCTCTATTTCTGTTATATTACATGATAAAAAATCTAAGGTCTTCTCAAGCCGTACGGCAAACCCATCTAATCTGCTGGTAATCTATTCCTTCTCTGAGAAAATCAATAATATCAGAAAGGCGATCAGCATATCTTCGTGTGGCACTGAGGTAAGACAGATCAGACCACAACCTGAGAAAGTTACGGTCTGATTTCGAAGAAATGAATGGTAAGATTTTGGAAGCAACAGTACAGCACCTTAAAACATCAACCTGTGCCCTCCACACTCCCCACCTCCTTTTTTCAAAAGTGTGTTTATTATGTCATGTCTAAAGTTGCCATTCTTCCCCACTAGATGGCGCTGTTTGCTATAGTTTTAGTTAAACTTCCATTGAGAAAACTTTATTTGTTATGCTTCATAGCGACAATCACGCAAGCCTCAGTAGCCATTTTCCAGTTCTGCGTAGCAGAGAAATCGCGCGCTGTTTACTCCGGATTCCAGTGTTGTTGTGTGAAGCCCCAGAGAAGCTTTGCTTGTAAGTTTATTTCATATAATTGTAAAGTTATATACTTTGTGTCTGTATCTTATTAAGATGGGTATATTAGACGCACTATAGCGGTTCCACGTGCTTTGTACGGACATTTCAAAAGATCGCCATGTGATCTCGTAACAATTACTGTGATTTAACGATGTTAATGTAAATATTGTGTTAGTAATTGTATTTTGATTATTTATATTTAAATAAGCATTTTTGTATTTCTTTTCAGTTTCACAAAATAATGTAACATTGAGAGAAACAACATGATTGCACTCAAGTAAAGAAGATAATTGACATCCTCTGAGTGGTCATTGAAGCCTCTTCATCACGTTATATAGTGTTTAACTATCTGTATATGCATGCCCAACGCACACGCATGCAGAGGACAGAATAAAAAGTGTGTTAAACTGCTTAGAAGCAGATCTCCTAGAAGTGGTAAACTCCTCACTTCTCTCAGTAACTTTTCCAAAGTTCCTTAAAACTGCAGTTGTCAAGGCCCTCCTGAAAAAGAGCAATCTAGATAGCAACATATTGAGCAATTACAGACCAATCTCAAATCTTCCTTTCATGGGCAAGATCATTGAAAAAGTTCTTCAATCAGCTGAGCAACTTCCTAATCTCAAATGGATACTTTGATGTGGTCGGAAACCAGATTGAAAATTGTCACAGCACAGAGAAAGCGCTCCTAAAGATAATAAACGATATTCGGTTAAATAGTGATACAGGCAAAACATCAATTCTGGTACTAATCGACCTCAGTGCTGCATTTGACACTGTCGATCACAACGTACTTCTTGACAGGCTGGAAAACTGGATGGGGCTTTCTGGGATAGTCCTAAAATGGTTCAGGTCATACGTAGGAGAGATTATAATGGGAGTATAGGAGACCATAAGTCTGAATGGACATCCATGACATACGGAGTCCCTCAAGGCTCAATTCTTGCGCCACTCCTGTTCATCCTGTACATGCTCCCACTGAGCCAAATAATGAGAAGGAACCAAATCTCTTACCACAGCTATGCAGACGACACACAGCTCTACTTAGCCCTATCGCCTAACGACTACAGCCCCATTGATTCCCTGTGCCAATGCATTGATGAAGTAAACAGTTGGATGTGCCAAAACTTTCTTCAGTTAAACAAAGACAAAACTGAAGTCATTGCGTTTGGAAACAAAGATGAAGTTCCCAAGGTGAATGCATACCTTGACGCTAGGGGTCAAACAACTAAAAATCAAGTCAGGAATCTCGTGTGATTTTGGAGTCAGACCTTAGTTTCAGTTGTCATGTCAAAGCAATAACTAAATCAGCATACCATCATCTCAAAAATATTGCAAGAATTAGATGCCTTGTTTCCAGACAAGACTTAGAGAAACTTGTTCATGCTTTCATCACCAGCAGGGTGGATTACTGTAATGGACTCCTCACTGGCCTTCCTAAAAAGACCATAAGACAGTTGCAGCTCATACAGAACGCTGCTGCCAGAAGTCTGAGCAGAACCAGAAAATATGAACACATCACACCAGTCCTCAGGTCTTCACATTGGCTCCCAGTTACATTTAGGATTGATTTTTAAGTATTATTACTGGTATATAAATCATTCAATGGGCTAGGACCTCAATACATTGCAGATATGCTCACTAAATATAAACCAAACAGATCTCACTCAGATCATTAGGATCACATCAGCTAGAAATACCAAGGGTTCACTCTAAGCAAGGAGAGTCTGCTTTTAGCTATTATGCCAGCTGCAGCTGGAACCAGCTTCCAGAAGAGATCAGATGTGCTCCTACAGTAGTCACATTCAAATCCAGACTCAAAACACATCTGTTTAGCTGTGCATTTACTGAATGAGCACTGTGCCACTGTACGTCCGACTGATTACACGATTTTATTTTGCATCCTCCTTTTTATTCTAAACTGAACTCAAATTGCACTGAGAATTGGGTAAGAGAGATGAAACCATGCTGATGGCCTGGGTCTGTGTTGGAGTGGTGAGTTTGATGTGATTAAATTTGAGGTTCTGTGGGGTGCGGACTGGACTGATTCCATTCGTAGAGCTTCCAAACAAAAGGGTTTTTGGGGTGTGGACTGATGAGGCAGTGAACCCGAGGTTACCCCGTGAGTCAGTCTTAGAACTCCTCCCGTCCGATTTTAGGGAAAAATTAGGTCTATTGGACGTCCAATAGATTTTTTGGTCGCGTTGAAAGAACACCACAGACACAGTGTAATCACCATGGGAAAATCTCAGAGTAAAACTGGGAGTTGTGAAAAATGATATACCGTTGTTTTGCCAGATGAGAAGTTTATCTATGTATCATCTTTTTACAATCGTTTTAATTCATTTTAGAACTATCATATATCTCTTTTAATTTCTTTTATAACTGTTTTAATTTTCCTTGCTTTTATTTTGTGATTATTTTAATTCCTTTCTGTAAAGCACTTTGAATTGCCATAGTGTATGAAATATGCTATATAAATAAACTTGCCTTGCCAAAGATATCTGTTGCAAGTTTGCATTTGTGTAAGTGCTGCTAGAAATACGTAGAGAACCAACCTGATCTCACAGGAAAACAAATACATTACGGGGAGGCAATTTTGTATAAATTCATACAATGTGCATCGTACAAAAAACCCCTAAAGATCCTCCTCTAACCCCACCCCTAAACATACCCATCACTGGTGCACGACCAGATCGTATGAAAAAATACAAATGAGATTGTACAAAAATCTTACAAATTAACCAAGTCATCAAAATGTAAAATAGGTTACAAAATGCCATGCGAGGACTCTGAACGTGCAAAAACTTACATCCGAAGGTATCCCGTGTGAAGTCGACATCAGAAAAGAGGCATCTTCAGCCTCTTTATTAATGGTTGAGCCATCTGCTGCTTAAGGAATCAAAACTGTCAGTGGTTCACAAATTCAGGAGTTACAAAAAAACTGAAAGCCCAGAGTTGTGTACATTGGTAGGTTGTCTCCCTGTTGTGTTCCAGGGGTTTCCAGTGGTTTATAGAGCGAATCTCCTCCATAAGTAGCTCATGTAGACTGCTCTGCTCTTTGGGCTTCAACCCCATCTTACGCTCTGAGGCCTGAGGAAGAGGAAATCAATAGGAAAGCAAAACCTGTTAGCTGAGAAATCTGATGTTGCAAAAGTAAACTTCCAATTATAAAATGAAAACTGCAATCCACAGGCATTGGTTTAGATAGTGAAAAGTCTCTTTATATGACAGATGGTTGGATGGGAAGGGATTGGTGACATCAGCCAAAACCCTAAAACCGTTTTGCAGATGCAAGTTTTTATTTGTTGATGAAACTTTTAGGACAACTTTAGGAGAGTATTGCATCTTTGCTAGAATCTATGGGGAAACTCCCTGAATTTTGAAGCCTTTAATTCAAAAAACACAGTGCCACTGCACAGCCATAACAGTGCAGCGATTAGAGTGCGCCCATTGGCTGGTCAGTGGCAACCTATGGCGAAGCAGTGTGTTCTGAGTTTGTCACAACACAAAAATTTTTGTTATTAGCCACCCAGCCAAATTTGAATGATAAAAGCCGGCAAGTACATAAAATAAGGTATCAAAATCTTGAAAAAATGAGCAGTATTCTCTGCTCTCAAACCCTGGGGGCGTGTCCGCTGGCTGCGCTGAAACCACACCCACTCGTGGGAAAGCTGCCGACATCGGTGATATTAGGTTATACTGGGAGATGAAGGCCGAGGCGGGAGATAGTCGGTTCGGCCCCATTCAACAGTAACAGCGGATTATCAGTCAATCCCAGTTGTCTCCGACGAAAGTTTATAAAAATATCCCGTGTAAAATGATCACTACAGAGGCGGGTGTTGGCGGTGATCCTCAGCTCTCCATCATCCATCAAGGTTGGCTCTTCACAAAATGAATCCACCTCTTCTTGATGTGATCTTTTTAGGAAATTTAAATAGACACCGATCTGTTTCGTACATAATCGCATCCAGGTAGTAGCCTATGCATTTCCGTGTCGAAGGCATAGCTAGCTAGCACACTGCAGGCTGTAGTAACTAATGGTACTGACAGTAACTCGCGATTGAGCACCAAACTGATGCGAATGTGCTCTATTGTTAGGGAAGGGGCCAGCCTCAGTGGTCAGCCTCAGTGCGTCATCAAGTAGGGGCGTGTCCACGAGCTCAGGGGCTCCAGTGCGTCATCGAGCCCCGTTTTAGCCCGCCCAAAAAATCTAGAAAATAGCAATGGTGAAAAACTGCTTAACGGTCTTACACCACAATTCAGTAATTCACAGTTCACAGTCTTTGTAATATGTTTTAGCAATACATTTCTAACATTAATAATGGGTTTAGATTTTTTTTTTTAGAATTTCCTTTACAGGGACTTTAAGGGGCTTGGACTGTGGTCGGAGCCTCCGGAGAAGTAATAGTGGGTTGAGCTCCTTCTGGAGGTCAACTCCAACTAGACAGAGGATTTGTGCATGCAGCGCAGAGACCCCCAAGTTGTAAAATCTGGCGAAGGTGGACAGCGAGGATGTCGCCAATAGACATCACTGGACCACGCCCAGGAAGAGGGCACGTCTCTAGTGGAGTGTGCTCTGATGCCGATGGGTCATTAAAGGCCCACCAAAGTATAAAAACGCGATAGCGTCCACTATCCAGTGGGATAGTATCTGCTTTGTGACCAAAAGCCACCGAAGCATACTAAGAGCTGCTCTGACTGTCTAAAATGGACAAAGCGCTGTATATATATACACACACTCTTAAGGCCCTGACAGGGCAGAGTAAGTGAAGTTCACGCTCGTCTTCCGAATCTGGAAGAGCGGACAGTAATAACTTGTGCTATGAACAGACTAGAGAGCACTTAGGGCACAGTCATAACTTGGCTTGAGGATGACCTTGGCAAACTCAAGGTAGGAAGCGCTGATGGAGAGCGCTTGCAGGTCGCCCACTCGCTTGACCGATTAGCCTACTGCTAATGCTAGCAGTAGTGCGGTTTTAAACGAAAGTGGCCGGAGCTCGGCCGACTGTAGTGGCTCGAACAGGGGGGCATTTAAAGGCGTAGATAGATTCCAAGAGGGTACGTAAGAGGACGAGGCGGGTTGAGCCTCCTTGCCCCTTTCAGGAAGCGGACGACCAGGTCACTTCTTCCCAGAGACTGGTGAGCCCTGGGACAGTGGTGTGCTGCTATGGCTGCCACATAGACTGAGCGTGGAGGGGGTCCAACCCGCGAGCATTAGCTCTTGTAAGACAGAAAGTACCAGAGGCACTTTGCATAAAAAAGAGTCCTGGTTCCGGACTGAACACCAGTCAGAGAAAACAGACCACTTAAGAGCATAGAAACACCTCATGGATGGAGCTATAGCCTCTGAGATGGTATTCAGGACTCTTGCTGGGAGGTCCTCAAGTTCCTGTTGAGGGGCCATATGTGGAGGGCCAATTCTTGGGTCGGGGACGCCAGATTGTCCCGTTTGCCTGGGAAAGGAGGTCTATCCTCAGGGGAATTGGGCATGGGGCTTCTGCCAGCAGCTGAATCAAATCAGGGAACTAAGGCTGGGTACACCAGAGAGAGGCCACCAGAAAAATGGCACACCTGTCTTCCCTGATCCGTTTGATGACCTGAGGGAGCAGCGCGACCGGGGGAAAGGCATAAAGGGGAGGCTGGGCCATTCGTGGGCCAGCGTATCCATGCTCTTTGTAAAAAATATTGGGCAGTGAGAGTTGCCTTTGGAGGCGAAGAGGTCGACCTCTGCCTTGCCGAAGATGCTCCAGATTGTTTGAATCGTCTGGGGATGGAGGGACCATTCTCCTGGGAACACGTTGTCCCGGGACAGCATGTCCGCTCCCTGGTACAGGCTCCCTGGTACAGTCTGCCCGGCACATGCACCGCTCTCAGAGGTTGCATTGTGCCCATAATAGAAGGCGTCGGGCTAGTCTGTACAGAGGCTGCAACCTGAGTCCACCTTGGTCGTTTACGTAAGACACTACAGCCATGTTGTCCGCGTGGCGTACTATTAGGTCTGGTAGGAAGCAGTGATGGGAATAACGGCGTTATAAATAAACGGCGTTACTACCGGCGTTATCTTTTTCAGTAACGAGTAATCAAACGAATTACTGTTTCCCCCGTTACAACGCAGTTACCGTTACTGACAAAAAAATGTGGCGTTACTATAATTGAACTCACTGAAGCGGTTTTCATCCGAGTAGGCTCTCTCTCCGCCATAGGACCTGCACATTTTTTTTCTCTGGTGTGTGTGTGTTTATGAGGCGCCGGAGTGGACAAAAGCGAAGCGAACGGCGCGAGCGCGCTCAATGCGCGAGAGAGACCGAATGTGTCCGAGAGCGCGCTCAACAGTTGCGCAAGAGAGACCGAGGGTGTCCGAGCATTATATAGTTTGTTTATAAATAAATGACACATATCTGCAACGTTAATTAATTTACATGGTTATACAAATAAAATCTAAAAAATTACCGTCAGGGAACGTTCTGTTTAGGTTATAAAATAAACCCGAAAATAACCTGCAGGGAACATTCACAGAAAACATCTTTGTTTGACCGGTTGTAAACACGTGCGGCAAACATGTCTAGAATTTGGCTTAAATAATCTCTGATGATGACGTTCGCTATAGGTTATAAAACTAAACCCCCAAAATATTATAATTTAGTATTATATTTTTTTTTTTGGTAAATTGTTCAGTATTATATTGAGAGAGCACTTGTTAAACTGTTTACTTTTGTTAGGAAGAAAATACTTATGCTACAGTATGTCTACTAGTTGTGAAGTTGTGTAACAGTTTTATCATTTTAATATGCACAAAGAGTATGTTTATTTTTTATTCTTATTTATTCATTTTTGGTACACTTCTTAAGCATAATTTATTTTTAAACTTACTCACCGGCCACTTTATTAGGTACACCTGTCCAACTGCTCGTTAACACTTAATTTCTAAGCAGCCAATCACATGGTGGCAACTCAGTGCATTTAGGCATGTAGACATGGTCAAGACAATCTCCTGCAGTTCAAACCGAGCATCAGTATGGGGAAGAAAGGTGATTTGAGTGACTTTGAACGTGGCATGATTGTTGGTGCCAGAAGGGCTGGTCTGAGTATTTCAGAAACTGCTAATCTACTGGGATTTTCACGCACAACCATCTCTAGGGTTTACAGAGAATGGTCCGAAAAAGAAAAAACATCCAGTGAGCGGCAGTTCTGTGGGCGGAAATGCCTTGTTGATGCCAGAGGTCAGAGGAGAATGGCCAGACTGGTTCGAGCTGATAGAAGGGCAACAGTGACTGAAATAACCACTCGTTACAACCGAGGTATGCAGCAAAGCATTTGTGAAGCCACAACACGCACAACCTTGAGGCGGATGGGCTACAACAGCAGAAGACTCCACCGGGTACCACTCATCTCCACTACAAATAGGAAAAAGAGGCTACAATTTGCAAGAGCTCACCAAAATTGAACAGTTGAAGACTGGAAAAATGTTGCCTGGTCTGATGAGTCTCGATTTCTGTTGAGACATTCAGATGTTAGAGTCAGAATTTGGCGTAAACAGAATGAGAACATGGAACCATCATGCCTTGTTACCACTGTGCAGGCTGGTGGTGGTAGTGTAATGGTGTGGGGGATGTTTTCCTGGCACACTTTAGGCCCCTTAGTGCCAATTGGGCATCGTTTAAATGCCACGGCCTACCTGAGCATTGTTTCTGACCATGTCCATCCCTTTATGGCCACCATGTACCCATCCTCTGATGGCTACTTCCACCATGTCACAAAGCTCTAATCATTTCAAATTGGTTTCTTGAACATGACAATGAGTTCACTGTACTAAAATGGCCTCCACAGTCACCAGATCTCAACCCAATAGAGCATCTTTGGGATGTGGTGGAACGGGAGATTCGCATCATGGATGTGCAGCCGACAAATCTGCGACAACTGTGTGATGCCATCATGTCAATATGGACCAAACTCCCTGAGGAATGCTTCCAGCACCTTGTTGAATCTATGCCACGAAGAATTGAGGCAGTTCTGAAGGCAAAAGGGGGTCCAACCCGTTACTAGCATGGGGTACCTAATAAAGTGGCCGGTGAGTGTATTTGTTGGCCAGTTGGGGTCTGTGCGATATTAAGTATAAACCATCTATAATGTTTTATTGTTCTACTATAGTAATGCTAATATTTAGAATAATATATTGAATTTAATAGGCATCTCACATTGTCCCACAGCAACATTAAAATAGAATAAATTATTATTATAAAACATTGAACACTAATCTACACTATTAAGTGTCCATTTCATTAATTTAACATTTAATAGGCATAGGCCTATTTGATTTTTTTTTTTAAGTAACGCAATAGTTACTTTCTCTGGTAATTAGTTACTTTTATAATGATGTAACTCAGTTACTAACTCAGTTACGATTTGTGAGAAGTAACGAGTAACTATAACTAATTACTTTTTTTAAAGTAACATGCTCAACACTGGTAGGAAGGTTTTGAGGGCCAGAAAAACCGCCATCATTATCTGGCAATTGATATGCAGCCCCTTTTCCGTGCTCGACCAAGAGCCGAAAGTCGGTCTGCCCTCCCAACAGAGCTCCCCAACCCGTGTTAGAAGCGTCCGTGGCGACCACCTTCCTTCGAGACCAACCCAATGCTTACTGTAATCTGATAACAATTGGGGTCCTTCCAAGGGGCCAGGGCTCTGATGCAACCGTGGTCCACCTTGACTTGAAGGCGACTTGATCCACATGCGTGTGAGCTGGGACCTGGGGTTTCAGCAAGTAGTGGCCTCTGCATCGTCAATAGAATCAGCTGGGCCGGTTGCATGTGCAACAGGCCCAGCTGATTCTATTGACGATGCAGAGGCCATGAGACCAAGCATCCTCTAAAAAGTTCTGAGAGTGAAAAGGGCCCCTGCTCTAAACGAAATGGCGAGCCACTGAGGCGTCCGAGTGCGCTCGTGGGTTAGCCACGAGTCTAGAAGTCTAGAGTCTAGAACCGCTCCCTGGAAAGAGATTTTCTAGCTGGGAGACAGTGAGGCTTAATTTAGTCTGAGTCCTAGGCAGTTCAAATAGGCTGAGGAGCACAGATCTGCTAGATATAATTTCTTCCTCCAACTGGCTCATCTTGGCCCAGTCGTCGCGGTAATTCAGGATGCGAATCCCTTTTGTCTCAGGGGAGAAAGTGCTGCATCCATGCACTTCGTAAATGTGCGTGGGGCCAGGGATAGTTCGAATAGCAGGACTGCATACTGGTAGGCCACCCCTTCGAACGCAAACCCTCAAGAATGGTTATGAGAAGAATGGGGGGGGGGGGGGGGGGGGGGGCGTCTATCTGGATATTAAACTGAGAAAATCCAATCCCCTGGGTGTACTTGCGAGAGGATTTGTTTCAAAGTTAGCATCTTGAACGGCCATCTCATGAGGGCACGGTTCAGATGTCTGAGGTCTAGGATGGGCCTGAGGCCACCATCCTTCTTGGGAACGAGGAAGTAGCGGCTGTAGAAACCTGACTCGCTGTGGGGCGGGGGAACTGTTTCGACAGCTCCCTTGCTAGTAAGCGCATTACTACAGTAAGGAGTAACGTGGCACACGTCCTCCACGCCCAAGGAATTTACTATGCCCGTGAAGTGGGGCGGTCTTTGAGCGAATTGGAGCAAGTAACCTCGTGTCACCGTGTCCAGTACCCATTTTGACATCCCGGCATTGGCTTTCCATGCCTCAGCACGGGTGGCTAGGGGCTGAATCATTTCGTAAAACAGTTCACTGCATCTGGGCAGGGAGCTGATGCCCATAGAGTCTGGAAGAGGAAAAGGTGTTCTTTTTAACAGCAGTCAATTGCATGGGTGCGTGAACTTCAATGGGCCCATAGTTTGCAATTTAAACATTTACTCCAACAGCCGGAACTGAACAGGGTGTTTGGAGGAACACTTGACACTTTTTGGAGGGTGGTCCAGCCGCAGCAGGACTTAAACTTCCACTCTTCCTTCTGGGTGGTGATCAAGATTGCTTCTGAGGCGCAGGGTCCAGCGTTATCTTAGGCCGGGGTCCCTGGCGCTGAGGGGGGAAGTGCACAATTTCTGACATTTTAGCTGCGTGACATTCTCCAGTTTTGTTTTTGCCAGAGTATCCAAAGCACGAGCTGTAAAGGCTCCATCCTCTTCTGGAAAGCAGGGTGGGGAGCATCAGCTCATTTGCATTTAAATGTACAAACAAAAACGTTGTGATTTTGCTCACACCCAAATAGTGGCAAATTTGTTTTATAAATGATCTACTATAAATTATCTGTGGGGTAGTTTGAGCTGAAACTTCACAAACACATTCTGGGGACACCAGAGACATATATTTTCACCTTGTGAAAAAGGGGCATAATAGGTGCCCTTTAAGTTTTGTTAGAACTTGGCTTGATGCTAATAGGCTTCAGGCCAAATGTTGCATGAACAAACAGGAAAACATGTCTCATCACAGAAAGTGTTATATATAGATTAAGGTAATCAGGTAATTTATTGTTGACGTTTTATTCGATTTTAACATCTAAATGTTATTGAGAAGAAAAATTATGGGCAGATTGATATACTTTTAGATATCAATCTGCATATGCGATGAACATCGGTTATGCTTGTCATTGCTCATTTCTTTGAAGGTATATTATATTTAATGAAGCATGTACAAAAGACCAGAACCAGCAACCGGTTTTACAGAATACAGAAGTTTGTTGCACATAACCTCCATTGTGTCTTCATACGAAATATAAACAAATTCTTCTCACCGGTCGTAATTTTGGCCGTGAGCGGATGAATTCTAGAAGAGTCTGGTGAGGTTCTGGCTTTCTCCGGCAGTCTCCCACATCCTACAAATGCAAGGATGTACATTTAGGCAAGACATCCAAAAAAAATGTATATCATATCCAACAACTCTCAGGAGATTGGTATGGTCATAGAGATTGGCATGGTAATGGATATGCTAATGTTAATGTATTTGGTCTGGGTGGAATAGATCTGCTACGCTGCTGCTCCTGCAGAGCAAGTACCGAGACTTGCTACTGCCAATACATTGCTGTGAGCATGTAAGACATGCTGCTGCACATGTAACCTGCATGAATTAACCACCGTAGCAGATCTATACAGGTGGAGCTGGGGAAGCTGTAGGGTTTCTGAAAGCGCACTGCAACTGCTACCAGCAACACCCCAGAATTGGTTTGAATGTTGAGCCGCAGCTCATTAGTCACTGATGCAACAGCAACCAATCAGCTGTGCCATGTAGATAATAATGTGATCGCTACCAAATGAGTCAAAGACTTATCAGCCTGTGCCATCTAGAGTTTCGTGCCAGAACTACGTAATTATTTCAAGTCATTAAAGCAGAATATATATTGACAAAAGAACAAAAAAGAAACATTCGAAAATGAACAAAGCCAGACTGAACACAAACCTGAACTTTCCGTAGTGTGTATCGTCTGCACTGGATGTCCCGCAGAAGCTGGTTGAATGGAGGGGTCTCAGCAGGTAGTGGGCATTTAGTTAAAGTCTTCGCTAACGGCCGCAACACTACACCTCTGCTCAACTCATCCACTAGATCCTTCCATGTGCACATCTGCAGTGTGGAAACAAGACACAGGACTGACACTGAAATTGAGACTTAGACCATGAAAGCTGACAAGAAAAATGTCATGTATATTAAAGCAAAAGCGTTGGGGAAATGCAGCACATCATAATATATATCTTATATTTAATATACATCATAACATCTCATATGTATAAAATATTAATTATTATTAGTACACACATACAGTATATATACACACACACGTATATGTACGTGTAGAAAAAGGCCATTAAGATTTTTTTTGCATTGCAATAAATAAAAAAGACAGTACAGTTGTGAGTGTTGTTGCAGTGCATTTAATTCATGCTGATTTTAATAAAAATGACTTGTATTTGACAGGATAATGTTAGAGCATTACATTAATACATGAATACATGCATTAAATGACATGGGGGAGGGGGGGGGGTATGTATATCGTGACCATGAATTACTGATACATCCGCACATTTTACTAATTTGTTCCCTCGTTTCACTAAAATTCTGTCCCTCGTTTCACTAAATCATGGCCACGTTGTCATAAGTCTTCATTCCTTTATTTAAAGTCCCACTGTAGTAAATTTTATCCCTTGAAACTCACCTTTGATCACCAAAATTACATATTTAAAAGTTTTCATGCCTTAAAATGGCTTGAATGTAACTACACCCTTGCCTCATTTAGTATACGGGGTTCTATGAATATGTAAATGAGCCCCGCCTCCAATCACTCAACTTAGAGATCCACTCGTTGATCACACGTTGATTTGATTGGTTACAATTGGTTCACCGCAGTTTTAAGGAGAAAATACTCCGCAATGCTGTCGACTTATGAATTTACAAACACCACATAGAAATATAAAAGCTTGATTTTCACCACATGGGGACTTTAATTAAAAACAAGGGAACAAATTAGTTCAACGTGGCGACGACTTACTAAACCGAGGGAACAAATACTTAATTCTTGGGAACAAATTGTTCATGTACTGGGCTCACCCAGGAATACAAGTAAATATAGTAAATGTGAAGTTGATCTTTTTTTCCGATTACTTACCCAGTTAGTGGTCCCTCGTGCAACCAGCTGGGTCTCCGATTCAAGCAGTTTCTGCAGACTCTGAGTGTTTTTCCATATAAAATTGGGAATGAAATAAGTCCCTTCTAAAAATACCATCAGCAGGTAAAAACCCTCCAGAGTTCATGATCCATTTGACTACAATAACAACACTGCACAGAGCTGTATTAGGTTAGGTCAACATTTGAAGTGGATCAAAACCTCTCAAAGTTATACATGCATTTCGTACATTACCAGTTCTTGTCGTAGGACAACTTTGATTAACTTTTTTGATCCACTTCAAATGTCGACTACTGTATATCACAAGTCTCAGACTCGCTCACCTCGCGGGACTGCTGGACGACCTGCAGATACTGGCACAGCTCAACGGTGTGCGAGAACAGACTGGAACACACACTCTTGTAATGCTTGACAGCCTGGCTGGGATCGCACAGGCGCTCCTTACAAACCTGTCAGAAACACAACCGACCCAGGATGATCAGGCCACATCCTCACACATTCAGACCAAAAGCATATTCGCCTTCTGTGACCGGTCCCGATCCAGCGAGCGCAGCAGACGGACGATTCTGATGACGTCAGCACCTGGATGACATCAGAGACGGCGCGGACGGGTCGGCAGGAGCGGTCGGCGCTGATGCTGAGGTTCACTTTGGTCATCTGACACACCAGGATCTCCAAGGCCTCACTCAATTCCCGCTCCACCTGCGTCTCCAGACCCCAGTCCAGACTCAAGTACACAAGACGGCCCACAAACTCAACGGCCTATAGAGACAGTGACCAATTCCAATGGCACATGCTGGAATGAATGACTTTTTTATTTTGATTATGCACCAAACTGAAGATAAACTCTTCGCCTACCTGTTCCTCTGTCTCGATCACAAATGAATTACCTACAGACAGAGAGGTTTAAAAAGGTGTTTTATTGTATTGACAGTTGTGCCTGCTTCACTTACAACAGTGCAGTTTAAATTGAAATTATATGGTCAAGAAACTCCACCGGAATGAACATTATTTAAACAGTGTTTATTTTAAAGACAAGGCAAAGTGTGTCAAGATGGGATTATTAATTTAGAAAATACACTTATACACAAATTACTTACTAAATCAGTCATTTCAATTTCTTTTAATTCCATGTAAACCTGGTAACTTTTTTAATTAGATCACTGTAAATGATAAAGACCCATCCATTGCTTTTACAAAGATATTAGAGCTGGGCAGATTAGGCAAACTGTAGTCTGTTACGGATTACAAATTACATCACGAAAATTGTAGTTAGTTACTTAATCTAGAGAATTCATTTTAGATATTGTATTCTGACTACTTTTAGTTTGATTACATTACGCATTTATAACTTAGGGTACGTTTAAACGACAACGAGATGCTGAAAACAGAAGTTTTGCCTTAAAGTTTTCCACGTACAAACATTGGCAAAACGATCCACATTCACCCCATTTGGATCCACGAAAACAAATATAAAAGCTGTATTCTGCTGCCAGGCCATCAGATGGCGATGAAACACTAGGCTATAGATTGAACACCCATGACGTCATCGTTTTCAGAGATTCACGTTTTCGTTATTTACACGGAGACCGTTTTCAAAAACTTGCACTTTGAAACTCGTTTTCAGGCTCCCAAAACGCCATTGTCGTGTAAGCGAATGGCCTTAACACATTAAAAGTTGTAAACGGCGTGAGCGGTGTAAACAGCCTCTTAGTTTTGAATGGGATTATTGTATACCATATTGAGATTATACATGCATATTATACACACACAGGTATAAATAAAGCAACAACAACACTAAACGCATTAAGCTTTACATTATGCCAGGGTTTCCCAAACTGGGATTAATGAAAAAACTGCAGTGGGATTGTGAGTTGATGAAAAGCTAATCATTAATTTCAATTAAATGATAAAAATGTAAAACTAAAATGAATAAATTACTTGAAAATAAAATCCAAATATAAAATACTACAATTATGAATACAATTATAAATAATTCACTGCCATTGTGTGAATATGTAATCAAGTAACCAATAAAAAAGTAACTAATCTGATTATGAGAATTTACAAACGTACTACATTTTTGGATTCTGATTAAGTAATCCAGATTACACGTAATCATCCGTTACATCCGAGCAGCGCTGAGAGACAGACCATAACTTCTGCTTGTCCCATGACGGTTTTGTCTGCAAAGGAAACATGTTACAGCTAGCTTAATGAATACAGAACATTTCTTTATATTAACTCTTTAACTACTAACTTGTGTTTTGACATTTATATTTAAAGTTAATTAAAACCCCTTTAGTGGCACCGGCGGGCCCACGGCCATTAGGCTACATACATTTAAAACAGTAATACACTAAACAAACTAATCTTGACAAACTATATATCATTTGAAAGCTTACAATCTCTAGTTTTCATATTTGGTGAATGATTTTCAGAGGAGCCGTAATGTATCAATTTGCAAAAAGAATATTTTCATACTCCTAAAGCGTGTTCAGACCTTTATTTTGAAATCGCGATGAACGTGAAAAATCATTAAAGATTGGTAGAAACCTCCATAACCTCAGTTTGTTTTCTTGCCAGGAGTTCAAAAGATAGGCTAACATCCATTCAATAATTTTTTTTAGAAAAAATAAAGAAATAAAAAAGGTCTGATAGCGTTTTAAATATAAAATAAAAATAATAATAGGTTCAACATTTGTGATGCGGCGGCGAGCTATAACGCTATTTTTGTGTGTTTAATGGAGGCACTTAAGTGGTAAAGAGGAGAGTATATATTTCCAGGCCCAGAGAGTCTCACCAGCACCACCGCAGCTGGACCGCAGAGAGACGCTGCCGTCGCGGGAGAACAGCACTCCTCCTGCGGCCTCCGCCGGCACCAGAGTCCGCCTCCACGAGCCCTGCGGCCGGGGCGCCTGAGAGAGGACGCAGCTCAGCTGGAAGCACAGGGCCCAGGCCTGCTCTTCACTCACTGCATGATCCTGGATCTGGAGCATCTCAGCCAGAGACATCTGATCATACGCACACATCTGACCCGTGCTCGTGTCATATAAAGACAACTCCATCATCTCTAGCAAAACCTGTGGATGTCAGCTTTAACAAGTGTTTAAAACGCTGCGTGAATAAAAGATTATACTTCCACGAGGATAAAAGCTTTCCTTCATATATGCGCGTGCTTCACAATTCTCCTATATAATGAATGATAATGATCTTAATTAACTGCACCTGAGAACCGAGTCACTTTGAGCTCGCTGTCTAGTGTTGAGAACGGCGAGTCATCTGGAGTGAATCGGTTCGTTCAGACTGTTAATCAACCGGTTCAGATGCATTTGCAGAATTGTTAGGTTTTGTTTTTCCTGTGTCCATGTGTTCTGCTCTGTCAAAACACATTTAATGGGATAAATGGGGTTGCTACCCTGCCAAGCCTTGAGGTTTCACTTTTGTGGTGAAATACATTCATTAAATTCATTGCATATTCAACTTCCATTCCCTGTGTGAATGTGATGAATGAATCAGAACCATCATCCACAATGTTTGCATCTACAGTGCGTGCAGAATTATTAGGCACGTTGATTTTCTGATCATATATTTTTCCCAGGCAATACTAGAAATTGCAGTTAAGGCATGAGTTAAATCTCTTTTTTGGCTTATTTTATCTGTAAAAGAAAACGTGCCTAATGATTATGCACACCTGGATAGAAGGTGTTTTTTTATTTCAAGCCTTCATGAACAATTATATATCACTTATAAATGATTAAATACAAAATGAATAGTAGTTATTAAGATTAATGTGGTTTGGCATTGGCAAAATGTGCCCGGAAAAAAAATATGATCAGAAAATCAACGTGCCAAATAATTCTGCACGCACTGTATTTCTGACTATTATTTTATAAGACTTGATTAAAAACATAAATTAGCTGGTTTTTGAAAGAACATGCACATAATGAGGGTATATGACAATTAATGAGTATATACTGCACAGTATGCATGCTAGCATTCAGTGCTGAACTCTCAGTCTTGTCTTTAAACCTGTTCTAATTTAAGTTTGCTGATATTTCAGGTTAAATTAAATGAAACTTATGGTACTTTTGTATTAAAAACATCACAATTTAGGAGGGAGCCTCTCAATAACAGCATGATCTAGAGACAAACACAAGCCAGACGTACACTTGTAAAAATAGTTTAATGCATGTGATCCGGGGCTAAACGGGTGAACATTGGTGCTGACAGTATTGAAATACAGTTAATTCATTATATAAGTCATGGTGGGGAAGTAAAAATTCTGATTCTGTCACATTATTATATTGCGATACTACAGACATGATTCTATTCTTAGTCTGCATCACACGATTAATCTAGAATTTATCAATATTAATAATAATAATAAAAAAGTCACACCAAAACAAAGACATACAAACACATCATACACAATTCTAAACATCATCTCATCTAGTAGCCAGGGACAAAATACAGTATCATGATTAAAAAAAGAAAGAAAGAGACAACTTTCTGTACATGGTTATCTTGCTCAAGACCAAAAGGGAAAACAGCAGATAAAACGCGTTCAGAGGACAAAAAAATAATGTACAATTCACAGGTTCATTTGTGTGTCATGATTACTTTGACTTCCTTCGTTTTGCCTGGGTGGGACTGGCTCCAGTGTTTGATTCTTGAAAGAGGGTGGAAAGAAAAGGTAGATCAGACATCTCAACCAGGACCAGCATACAGTGGGTGCTAACGGGTCACGTGACACACAGCGGGCGCGCCCTGCTCTGAACGCATCCTAGCCGAATCATCTTACGCAAGACATGCCGTCGACACATTACAGAGAGGAACGTCCATTATTGAAGAAATATATTATAGTATTATCAAATTGTTACTTTTTTGTACACATACAGTTTCTATATACATTTCTATTTTGCAATTCGTTTATATAAAAGAATCATGCACTACTTCACCACTAGTCGGCGCTAAGAGAGCATGCGAACACGCACTACATGAATCGTGTCTTATACTATAAAAAACTATTTTGAAGCAGTCGGTTGAAGATCTAAGTGGTGTGAGTACAGATCCGTTATTGTTTACACTGTTGAAATGTTATACGAAGAGGCTAATGTTGCTGTACCATAGTCCGTCCGAATACTCGATTCTGATTGGCTGTCATTGCTGAGTATTTTCTCTTTAAAACTGCAGTGAACCAAAGACAGTCTCAAAAACACGGTTTGAAATCGCTGGTGTTTCTGACGTCACAAACGACCTTGTAACCAATCAGATCAACGTGTGATCGTCAACCAGTGGATCTCTGAGTGAGTGAGTGAGTGGAGGCGGGGCTCATTTGCATATTCATAAAACCGCGCATACTAAATGTTACTTTCCAAGTTATTTTAATAGTTTTTTTATTCAACTTGTATGCTATATACAAACCACGAGCACTCAAGTAACCGACTAGGACAAATCAGTAGTCGTGGCAACCGCCAATTCATGGCTGATTTCCATTTAGTTGACGAGAGTGCTAACCTGTACCTTTTCCTAAGTTAGATGAGGCTGACCCTGGCCTAGCAGCTCGTTTCCTCTGTCCATTGTCAGACGCTTCCTCCTCGGGTTCCTTGTCTGTCCGTGAGCTTCGTCGACTAGGACCTTTCGCTTTCTCAGTGGTGGCTCTCGTGTCCCTGGGGAAGGAAGACGGGCAGTGGGGTTAAGAAATCAACCGAAACGTTCACAGAGCACGGCCAGTTTGCAGTCGTACAGTCAACTTGTATGCACTCTAATTTTCTTTGGGTTTGGAAATCAACTGTTCTCAATGAAGAAAGTACCCACATCTGTCCCCTGTACAACTGAGGAATTCATACTTGCTGTTTTTCCTCATCTACCACAGATAACGTCCGTCCTGTTCATGACCATATTTACTGAAATGGCCACGCTGAATCTGAATCTACAGGTCTGGTATATACATACCTTGGGGCTAAGTTGACGGGCGTCTTTCTTTTCTTTGCCCATCTGTTATAGAAGTGGAAAAACAGCGGTAAACTGCTTTGATGCTGAACAACATTTTTTTCTCCTTGCCCATATTTTGAGTACAGATCAAATAAAAGAATGCTTTCAGGAATCATCCCATGATTATTAGTGTCATGAGGTGAGCTCGTTCAGGTTAACCAATACGATTACTCTTTGATTGAAACACTGAATCAACAAAAGTATAAAGCATATTCATGTTAAAATTCAGGTAAAGAATAATGAAAATAAAGGTGAAAAAAGACATTGCAAGTGGTCAGACAGACTTCACACGTGATGCTGAACAAGTTTATAGCGATTATATTGATGACGAATGAGAATTACACATTGCCTTACCCTTGCTCTGCTGCAGTGGTAGTAACCCCTTGACCTGTAACTAGAGAGAACTGAAATTAGCTGTGTGTTAAACACTGATTGTGAATTGTATTTCCTATGTGTCAACTTCAGGCTGCATCCCGGGGAGTTTGTCCGAGTCGAGCTGTTAGAAAGCTGAGCAAAAAGCGTCAGTTCGGAATACAAGAAATGATTTTGGTCGAGGACTGGATCCAGTCTTTAATTAGATTAGCATACGCTAAAGCCGAAAGTATACTTCAGTTTTTGTGTGAGCTAACTAGAGCATGTGTACAGTGCACATGATGGAAATGTCATCATCAGTACTCACACAGGCACCTCTGGAGAGAAATAGCGCAGACACTGGACAAACAAGTGTCTTAGTGTGCATTAGGGGTTGAACAACTTCAGATTTTTTAAAGTCGACATTTGTGAGAAGAAAGTCGAGTCACTGATGCATCATTGATGACCAAATAAGCCTGACCCTCAAGCGGAGACCTGAACGCATGTTGCCTTGTGCACAGCTACGGCATACGACACAGCGCGACTACATAACAGCTTATTTTACCAGTTATTTTGTCTTTGTATCTGATTTAGAACAAGCAGAAATCTGTGAGAAACATAACGACCCAGATAAAGTAGCACAGTAAAGGTTACGTTTATATGAATGCATTAGTGAGAGAGCGATTGTGAGTGAATTAGTTCTACCTGGCAGCGTCTCTTTACTAATAGTGAAGCTTGGGTTTTAGTTACTAAGAAATATATGCTAGAACCTTTTAGTTTCTAAGCTATCTAATTGATAAATCACAGAACAGAGTTTACAACACATTTCTGCGCTATTGAATGATTCTGTGTGCGTGCGATCTGACTGTGATATGCGCGCTACTGTGTGTGCGTTACGCGACAGTAGTTTAGAACGGCGATTAACTTACCTGTACAATAGGCTGTGTAATACATGCATTCACACACTCAATTTTGAGCATCCAATGGTATAATCAAACATCTTATGAAGCGCTCTGAGTATGCATTTATTTGTCATTTTAACAAATGAAGCGTAAAAGTGGACTTCAAAGATTTCTTATCCTGTTGCGCCCTCTATAGGCCATGATCAGCGATTAGTCATCAAGCTTAAAGCGTCATGGCAGAGCATTAAAGTCGACTAGTCTTATCAACCTCTAGTGTGCATGTGACCGGCCTGATCGAAGTCCTGAAAAGTCAAGCCAAAGCGCCTCGATCGCCCCCTGGTGGCTGGTCCCAGTATAGGTCATAAACCCCGCCCTCTCGAAGTAGTCTAATGGGACGTGAGGATAACTAAATCAAATTACACTTCAAATAATTTTTTTCCAAAAATGCTTTCTGTCATTTTTATCACACTGATGTAAGTTTAGGTGTTCGTTTTTTTAAATAAGTTTGGTTGTAGTTAGTTATTTGATGCTATAAAAACGGGAATGTGACGTCATGATTGACAGCTGTGTGATTGACAGCTTATCTGAGCGAAGTAGTCACTGAGGCGCCAACTGACTTTTTGGGGGAATTTTCGGGAGGAGATTGGAGCTTCAACTTTAATTTCTATATTTCCATAACGGTTTATTTCACACAGGTCTACTTAATGAGTTGCTCTGCAGCAAACTGTCCTAACCGTTTCTGCGGGAGTGTGGGCGGGACCTTGATATCGCGGCTTTACTTCCCACACACTACTGCGCAGAATCAGGTCCCAAATTGGCACAAGATGTCAGCGCCATATCGGGACTTTGGCCGCTTCACTTTTCTACAATGGAAG